AAACAGAATCGAGTAAACTGTGTGTTAAGGGTATTAGATATTGAATTATGTTGGTAGGATGAGATTGATGAAAATAAAAAGAAGATATTAAGGAGTGATTGTTAGATGAGATTAGACAAATATATAAAGATGATATTAATAATAAAAAATGATAGAGGGGAGATGGATGTGGTAGGAAAGAGACAGGTGTTACATACCTTTAATAAGGATAAACTGCCTGCTCCTGGGCGTCTTGATACATTTCTTATTAGTCATGTTTCATTGTTTGATTTGAGACAGGGGTGTCCGAATTGGTCAAGCATGAGCAGTTTGTGGGTAGGCTCGATTGAGTATGAATAGTTGGAGCGATCATGAAAAAAAATGAAGAACTTGATCAGCTTGAGCCCATCATTCTATCGATCTCCTGCTTCATGCAGTCACAAGCACATCCGGGTGCCTGGAATGCATGCGGAACATGCCCAGAGATCCGGCTAAGGGCAGTGGTTCCTGAAGCGAGGCGAAGCAGAATGAAAAGAAGGAAAGAAGACGAACCTCAGGGTGTTGATTCATTTAGCTTGTTTGTTGTTTGATTTGAGCAAACAACAGCCAATTAGGGTGATATTACGTTGGTCAAGGTGAGGCTAGTGTTGTAAAGTCGAGGGATCGAGAAGAAAGTGGTTCGATGGCTGAGTCTAGATGGTCTCCTGAAGGGGGCGATCGAGACATGTGCCTCCACCCCTGATTCAGCCGCTGTACCGCTTGCAGCGGCCACAGCGGGCCGGAGCGCAGCTCGCTGTTTGCCCGGGACCGGGAACGCAGCAGCAACGCAGCGGATAAAAAAATTGGGACCCCCCCGGGTTCCACAGCGCAACTGCTTGACGCTGCGCTGTTGTACATGTACAACGCAGCTGTGAAAGCTGCGTTGCAGTAGCGTTGCAGCCATTTGCAGCGCTACTGGTCCAATGTTGGTCAGGCTGAATGAAAATAAGAAAGGGAACTTGGATACCAACAAAAGCCCAGAAAAACATGGTTTATTTTCAATCAGAGAAGGTCTAATCTTATCATGGACTGAAAATCAGCTTTGCACACAACATTCAAAATACCCTGCTACATCACAAAACATGAGGTTATTCAACGATTGCTTCCAGTTTGGCTTGTTTGCAATACTTTGTCAATAAAACTGAGTGCTCCAGGATGTCTATGTATTGATTGCTTACACAAGGTAGCGTTAAATAACCCGCAGCATCTACATACAGATTCTTGAGCTGAGGCCAGGTGTCTTTCAACATAATAGTGTTTAGGGTCCAGAAATGGTATAGTGACCTGTAGGTCCATGTAATATAATGTAGAGTTTGACAGTCTTGAAAGCTTTCCAGTAAGTGCACATTCCAGGCCAAAACTTCCAAGTTGGTTAAAGATGGAAGAGAGAAACAAGTTTCAGGATCCCAACTAGGATCAATTTCCACGCTTTGATCACCAAAGTTGTATATAGTGAAATTCAAGTGTTAGCTTTGTCACGCAAGGTGCAATAGGGCAGGTCAAGTTTGACATTTTTGTACAAAGGCACCGTGGAATCGAGCAGGTATGTATCTGACGGAGCACACCAATATCAATCCTGCTTGGTGTTTGTGCGCAAGGACCTGTGGGGTCGGCTCATATTCAAGTTTCCCAGAGTCCATGAGACTGTTGGGGGGACAAAGCAGGACATAAGAAAAGTCTTTCAAGAAATTGGATTTCAACTAAATCATCAAACTGTGTTTTTTAAAAAAGTGTTGGCCTGCCTTATCCCTACTTTTCATTAATCCTTATTACTACCACTATTATCTTTCTTTTCATCGATCACCTTATTTGTCTCTCATTGAAAAACATTGGTTTTGCTATTACCACCACACACAGCAAGACATTTCTCCCAACGTTTTCACTTCAATTCTGATCACACTCAGTCATTTGCTCCTAATCTCTAGTCATTCGATTTAACCAACTGTTGACTTGGTCATTTCTCTTTTGAATCAATTCTCAATTGTCTTTGTTGTTTTCATTTCCAAATACTCAATTCATAACAACCACACCAAGGACAGGACCTACCTGAAATGCCTTGAATATCTCCACACCAGCATATTGTTGATGTTCAATCGACGAGGTAAAAGAAAATGTTATGTGTAGGAGCTACACAAAGGTGTTATCAGATTTAGACAAATGATGTATGGTAGATACTTTACCCCAATTGAGCAAATAAGAATTATTATATAAACCATCCCACTCTCATCTACTGTAATGTTTCTCTTTCCCATCTTTGGAAAGAGAAACGTATGTAACCCTCTTATCTCATCATATAGAATAGTTACTAATCATATATGTATCAGTTGTCCTTTTCATTAAATCAATAAGCTCACATCTTTCTATCTTGTGTACTTTGTACAAACCCCAATTTATAAATCAGGTACTTATCTAACTGTATATCTCACAACTTATTTACTTACTTTTATCATGTTCATGTTTCTTTATCATTGTTGTAGGTCAGAGTTAATTCCTTATATAGGATAACTTCATTGTGATCTTATCTAACACTAGAGCGCATATCAGTTTTCTGAATTAGGTGTCAGGACTGTGTTCCAATCATCTCATAAATTTTCACATATGATCCATGACCTAGCTTTAATAGGAACCCTGGCGCATGAAAACACCAAAAATGCTTTGCTTCAGCCTCAACACCAAAGGGAACTCACGTTCAGCCTTGGTTCTAAAATGTATCATTAAAACCAGCGACTGGAAAAGTGGTATGACATGCTGGTGGGTGACAAGGCAGAGATATCCAATGGTCTGGCCGCCGTCACCAGCCACAGGTACACCACAGCTTGTTGGAAGGAACCTTACGGCAATCCTTTTGCAATTAACAATATGCTCCAATCTTGTGGAGCCAAATTCAATCAATTCATGCAGACTAGTCATGAAGGGTTTCAGGCACTCCTTGACCGGATTAGTGATCATCCAGAAATAATTTCAACTAGCAACAATTGACCACCACCAATAGATCTACAGCTAGCTTTGACACTCAAGCGTCTGGGATCTTGCGGAAATGTTGCATCACTCAGTAAATTTTCCCGTTGACGGGATGCTGATGCTGTGAGGAAGCCGGATAATGGCTGTACAAAACAGAGATTTGTTGATGGAGATGCTGTGAGGGAGCCGGAGAATGGCCGTACAACATGGAAACTTGTTGACGGGGATGCTGAGCCGGGGAATGGGCATAGGCTAGAGGGCTTTTTTGATGTTGATTGAGGTACATGCTTGAGAAAACTGGCAAAAAAACGTGTGTGTTGTCCAGCTGGAGTAAGACTGTGTAGGTGAGGACAAGGGCATCCTAGGTGGCTGTGATTGATCCTCTGGAGACAAACTCCCAAAATACAACACATCTGGGATGACCAAGTCTTGACTTGACAGAGTGTGGCGGTAGGAATTGAATGTTGACTGCATCTAGGATATATAGATAAGATACTTGAGGGAAACAAACAATAAGTGAAAGATATGAAGCAAAAGTGTGATGTAAATTTGAGTGAAGGAAGGTAAATGACGTGGAATGACAATGTAAATGAAGTGATGTAAAATAAAAAGCAGACTGTGGTTTGTCTCACCATAATGCATTCACTCAAACAGCATTTTGAGCCTATGTAAGAGATACTTTACACCTAATGGAGCTTTGAGCTGTGCTTGTTTAGCACAGGCCTCTGCTCGTTTGCTAGCTGGGAGGGCCTATATGTCATGTGCTTGAATTTTGAATTTCACATGAAAATAAATGAATCATTTGAGCAATGGGAAAATTCAAAACAAGCAAAAAAGTGGCCAACTTGACCTGCCCTAATGTGATGGACTATCTAATATGCTGAGGTCAGTGATAGATTGGTGCATTCTCAAATCACAAGCTGAGTATTTGTTCTGGGCCAATTGTAAAGGCACCAATCTCTATTTATATCTTCAAATCTATGTAAATTTAATTGTGATAAGTATTTGAGTTGGGATAGATTGAATCCAAAAGAATTATCACCTGGTTTTTCTTTGGCTTTGAATAATGTAAGTACATCACATTTAAATGACTCAAGCAGAGGTAGACTAGCAATGACTTGTGATGGGAAACAGTTCACGTCTCGTAGGCTGCATTCATCTTCCAATGTCAAGCATCTAAGTTGTCTAAGACTTGATAATAGTGTAATCAGGCCTAGGAGAAAAGCCTCTGTTATACCTGTGTCTTGGGGTTCTTCATCATAACCACATTTGATTGATGAATCATCAGATACAGCTGGTCACTGTTAAACCAAATGCAACAATCCGAGGATAATATGTTGACGGTGCCAAAGACATGCAACATTGAGTTGCATCCCTATTATATCACAGTGAGGTATTGCTATTTTTTATCACATTTGAAAACCCTTTGTTTGAGTGCATACCACCATGTGATGTAAAAGTGTTGGCTGTGAATTACTTTTGGATGTCAAGGAGAAATACCTTAGTGAGACATTAGTATGATGTAGCAAGGTAGCTAACAACATAGAACCATTGATAAAGAGAGATACAATTCACCTTTGCAAACTTATGTTTGCATAAAGTATTGTAGCATGTGGCATACTTCATAATTCAACATACATGACATACTCAAATTACTTTGTGTGATGTTTCCTTTGTCTCATTTGGACTGAAAGGATTATAGTATGTGTTTCATTTGTGTGTGGTTGTTTTTATTGAGTATAACTAGGTTGCTCATAGTCCACATTAACTGCAGAGAAAAGCTTCCATTATTTTCTCTTTTCATCCAAAACCCTATGAATAATCATTGGATGAAGGTGAGTTACATGTGGTTTTGTGGGATTAATAAGTTCAAAGTTCCAGATCTAAACTATCTCCATGTCTGCTCTGACAAATTAATCCCTTGAAACCTTATCATTTATTTTAAGGGTGTTTTTTTGGTCTATAGTCCTACACAATGAATATTAGGGTTGTGTCTTTGATTGAAGTTTTGAAAGCTCACATTATCCTTCTACTTGTTCCACTAATTCAAAATCAAATTAATTATAGAATTTGCTCATTTGGCATACAAGAGATAACACATGCAGTGTGCAGGGTTATTTGTAGACATACTGTCAAGAATTTGAACCTACCACACAAAACAAGATTATACATAGATGGAGTTTTCATGATGATAATATCAAAGGTTTGAGCATTGTTCACACTGGCATAAAATTCAAAGAAAAAAATGGAAAGATTGGTTCACTTTTTTTGTTCACTTTGGATGCCTGAAAAAGTATCAGGTATAGGGATGAATGAACCAAACAGTTTGAACTTCTTCTGAATATGTCCTCCATCTGCTTGACTTCCTGCTTCTGAGATGGAAGCAATGGGAAGATTTTTGGCTCTAGTCTCCTTGGTGGGGAATGCTTGGATGGAACTCAGAAAGCAGCTGTATCTTGCTTTTTGTGATTGATACAAGATTGTTTTTTCCTTTTGCGCCTCTCTGTCATAATTTCTGAAAAGACTGGCATAGGCCAACTTCTTGGTATCAAATTTTTGTATATCTTTTATATCATCCTTTAGATTTTGGATGCAATATTCAGTCAGAAGTTGTCCGTGAGCCATTGCACTCAAGTTGTTGAAGTGGTGTGTCAGGCTGAGGTAAACTCTATAGATCTTGCCAATTTCTGAGTGCATACTCTGATTGAGCTGAAGATATTTTGCTCTTCTTCTTTGATTTGTTTGTGTCAAGGTAGATTTGAGGATAGCCTGGAAGAATTGGATAGATTGAAGCACAAACAGCTGATTCCCAGAAACTGAGTTGATATCTTCCAGGGTGATCAAGGATCCAACAATTGTGCTGACCTCTTTGATCAGAAAGAAGAACATAAGGGTATTTATTGTGTGTTCAAAAATGAGATCACTGTTGATATCTTTCAATGGTTTCAGCTCTCCAAGGAAACACTCAACCATGTGCAAAAAAACCACATGCTCATTTTCATCTTCCAGACTTTGAATTGCAAAAGCAATCATATGTGCAATTTTACTCAAAGCAATCTTCTTTTCCCCAATTGTGTCATCAACACCTTCTGAAAAAGTATCCCATGATTTTAACATTTTGAAACCTCCCAGAATGGATTCAAATTCAACCTGCCCTGACTGTATTCCTTGGAGATTGTTCAAAATTTGCATCATCTTCCCTGGGGCCAAGTACTGCATCCTTTGAAACCCACTCTTGATCAGTTGAACTGTATGAATTTCTTCACCTTGGAAAGCAGTTGTGAAATATGATGTTGGGGATCCATCACCCAGCACACCTCGGTGAAATAAGATCTCATGCAAATCATCAAAACCTCTCACCCATTTGAGTGGTTTTACAAAACGTTCAACTTCTTTTGTACCCATAGAAGCAAAGCTTTTTATTAAATCAACATTTTTGATTCCTGCTAAAACCAATCTCTCTGCCATATCAATAAACCTCATATATTTGGTGAAAGCTGTGCCATACTGTGCTTCTGGTGTAAGAAGCCTGGAAATTGACTGATATGTTTCTGGTATATTATGAACAGGTGCTGAAGACAAGGATCTTATAAGGATGGTTAACACGATTCTTTCCCCCAATCTTGCCATGATGTGTGATATGAACTCCTTATACAGATTCCCTGGCTGGTGCGATCTTGAAGGTAGGGGCTTGATGGGTGTATTCTTCATTACTAAGCTCTCAAGAGTTGATATTTCTTCAAAGTTTTCTTTCTTCACAACTACAAAATAAACCCCCATGAAGATTCTCAGCATCTTCCTCCATGGGGTAACCAAAAACTCTTTGTTTTTATCACTCTTTGAAATTTTATGTTTATGGTTATAGAGTTCCAGCAAATCCAGCCTTTGCTTGTCTGAATTCCTGAAAATTTCTGCTTTTGCTCTCTCTGAATAGTCTTGAAAAGAAGGCGTCTGAAGGCAATGGGTTGCTGCCGCCTCCAAGGTCTTCAAGCTGGCCCAAGAGGCCTTGAGTTCATCATCTGCCCAGATACTTGAGGTAAATTCTACAGTACCAAGCATATTTTGAATCAGTGTGAATCAGCATACAAAGTTCAGTCCACAATTCACCATTAAAATGTTGAACTTCAAAACTGAGACAGAAATTAGATATATGATATACCTTTATCTTCATTGAGCTTTGAGATGGTTATTGACAGATGTGTTGCATCTTCCTCTGCAAGTTGAAGTGGGGTGCATCTTAAACCATTTTCTATCAGGGTACTCAGTCCAAGTACCACAAACCAAGAGGTTAACCTGCCAAACATCATCTTGAGAGTATGATAAAAATTTGTTTTTTTGTGGTAAAGAAAAGATGTGGAGCAAAGAAAAAACTGCAGAAGTTCTATAAGGGAAAATTTGCATGTCTCAACTCCTCCTATTATTCTCTACTTGGTCAATCTTCCCCACATTTACAGAATCTGATCCAACGATTCAGATAAATTATCTTATGAGATGTTACAGGATTTGAGTGATTGGGACAATACAGGAGATTACACACTTGTGATAGTTTCTTGTTTCCTTGTATGCACAACATGCACAGGAGGATTTTCATTGTTCAGATTCAAAGCTCCTGACACCCCCTTGTAACATATTTGGAATACCTGCATCAAATATCATGCTATATTTGCTCTGATCATCTCAGTGTAGCATTCAACATTGATAGGGCTAGATGTGATATTCTCAGATCAGAGCTTCATTTTGTACAGTGCACATGCATTGCATAGTAGCATCAACGAAACAGCATAGAAAAGAATAGTTAAAGGCAACCCAGACTCATCTGGTAATGACACTTGTGTAGCATCTGTAGATTCTTGATCTGTGAATACTGGATCAGTTGCCTTGGAGACCAACTTCCAAGGTGTCCTTGGATGGTGTCCCCAAGGAGAAGGGCACCCAATGGCCACCTTCAAGGCAAATTTTGGCCCTTGTGGTTGCCTCAGATTGGATCCTTGAATGGGGCTTTCCTTGGCGTCAAAATCCTAGGACTACTTGAATTTTTGCCTCCAAGCCAAATATACTGGCTGTGAGGTGTGTACAAATTTATGATGTCATATGATGAAATTGGGATTGTGGTGGCATGACAGGCAAACAACCTCCACAGTTATATATTGAGATCAGAATATGTTTAATTTATAGTAGTCTCTTGCCTGCCAGTGACTAGTAGCTATGGGCCATGAGTGTGTACATATTTGGAGCCAGACCCATTGCAAACCCAGGCACAATTTTGGGCCTTACTTAAGTTTGGTAAGCACCTATTGTAAGGTGACATAAATAAAAAGAGATAAACGTTTGAGTGAACAAAAACAATTAGGACATGCAAACAAGACTCGTGATATACGGTCATTCTTCTGAGACATAGGTTTAGCAAACAAGTTATATTGTGAGTATCATTCACCACATTGGGATTAGTTGATACATGGCTCAAATAGGATGGAACAACGGAGCAAAATGGAAGTCATCGCATGAGCTCAAAGCGGAATGTAAGAATAGCATGGTAACTAGGAATGAGAAATCGTGAATTCAATAAAGGTGGGTATAATCCGAGCCCGTTACAATTGGTCGCCAAAAGCACGCATGGCATCCTCCGTCTCTTTGTCGCACGTCTCAACTTGCTTGGAATCGGCATAATCGCCATAATAGACTAGCACAATGACCAGGTCATCATCCGGGCTCGGTGGTGGAACTTTGCTGCTCTATGAACCGGTATTGTTATCAGCAAAAGTTTGAGTTTAAGTTTGATATGCAGCAGAGAGAAGTACATAAGACTTACCGGCGTAACAGGCTTGGTAACTCTACAAGTCTGGCTGATGTAAGCGCCATAGTAATTCCTGACGCTTGAGGCTGAAGAGCTAACAGAATCATAATGTGTTCATATTGACCTCGGATCACCAAAATGAGCTCGAGGTGTTGGGCACTCACTCCTGAAACATGGCCGGTTCTCTCGTCGTTGTTTCGACGTACATCTGTGTAAAATGAGTCAATCAGCCAGTCAACTCGATACGTTCTAGCTTCTCAGTTGGCTCATCAGACATCATACTCACACCCAGGTTTGCGAAGAAAACACACGAGGCTGGGCGTGAGATCAAAGCGGTGATCATTCTAATCAAGTTACCAGGATGAAGCTTGGTCAATTAATACGATTGGTGAAGTGAGGAGATTCTCTTTCAAGACCACAAGGGAATACCGACTAACTTTCCATATTGTTTTAGATCGAATTCCAATGGCTTCGACTGCAATTGACCGGGACAGACTACCGGGTTGCTCGGCGATGTCATGCGCTTGAAAAGTTTCTTTGGTTGGATCGATTCCAGACCACTCGAGTCACGTCCTTCCAAGCGACTATTGGGTTCGGGATAAGCCATCACAAATAACACTTGTAACAGGAATCCAAGAAAAATTGAGCATCTCATAATGACAAGAAAGTACGCCCGAGCAAATTAGGAAATTATTCGAGGTTAAATAGCAAACTTCAAAGTAAAAAGGATTTAAAAGATGTGAGGTTCAATTTTTAAAGGGAAAGAAGGGGAAAAATGATGGTTTCGAAGGAAGGTAAGAGACATAAGGTTTTTAAAGTGTTTTCAAGATACATAAATAGCAATGCATAGCCACCGGTGTCCAAGCACGGAATCCATCCAGCCAAGGTCAACTTGAAAAGTCACACACTGACAGTCTGACTACTTAAATTCAAAAGTTCGAACTGCTCGGATAACAACGCCAGAAATCTGGTGAGTCGTGACGTACAACCTCATATACAACATATTCAGTCAAAAAGAGACATGCTCTCTAACTTAACTAAGTCCCTCGAGGCTCGACACCTGTTAATCAATGATGGTTTCGAAGGAAGGTAAGAGACATAAGGTTTTTAAAAATCTTATTTATCCCTTTTCTGTGAGCACACCGAGGAACATCGACCCTCCTTGGAATAGGACATGCGGGAGGTCTGGCTACACATTGTACAAGTCGAATCATTGACATCCGCCCATTCCTTCTCGAGATATTTGGGAAATGAGTTGAAAATGTCTTTAGTAATGATTTTTGTAAAGCCATAACCCTATCCCGCACGTGGAGGAAGTGGGAAGAGTTGCTGAGCCGAGGGAGTGGGATACCTAATGCTGTCATCCGCCAAAATAAGCTTGCTAGCTCTGCAATGGGAATAAGTCCCCTGACTTAATGTAGCTACATATAAAGACAACACCAATTCCTTGTTGAATATTTCGAGAAGTAAATGGTGGAGGGTGATGGTTCGACTTGTACGATGTGTAGCCAGACCTCCCGCATGTCTGATTCCAAGGAGGGTCGATGTTCCTCGGTGTGCACACATTGAAGGGATAAATAAGATTCCACCCGCAACAATATTCTTAGCCCTCAGGCCGAAAAGCAGACATTAGGTGTAAGTCCCTCATGCTGCGACATGCGGATTCAACTTGCTTGAATGACAGCTGTCGCAGCATCGAGGGACTTTGTTAAGTTAGGACTTACATCTAATGTCATGTTTTTGGCCTGAGGGGTAAGGATTTCCTTGCAGAGGAAATCTTGATTCCTCCTTTTCCGTGAGCTCACCGGGGATCTTTTTACCGCGCTTCATGGGGTTATGCGCCGACCTCCTTTTCAAAATGTACAAGTTGAATCGTAGAGATTCCTCGGTTGCTTGCTGAGCTACATAAGTTGCTATTTTGTGATTTTCACCTGTAGCTCACATGTAGCTCTGCTAAGTCGAGGACTTATTTCGATGAAACACCGAGCTACAAGTGAGCTACAAGTGAGCTACATACCAAAATGACGGAATTAAAAGATATGTAGCTCGGCGAGCAACCGAGGAATCTCGACGATTCCAGTTGTACATTACGCAGCGAGGTTCAGCGCATATGCTCACGAGGCGCGGTAAAAAGATCCTCGGTGAGCTCAAGGAAATGGCAAAAACAAGAATTCCTCTGCAAAGGAATCCTTACCCCTCAGGCCAAAAAGTCGACTTTAGATGTAAGTCCCTCATGCGGAGACATGCTGATTCAACTCGTTGATTGACAGCTGTCTCAGCATCGAGGGACTTAGTTAAGTTAGACATGCTCTGAGCTGCTCTGAGACAGAAGCTCACAAATCAAGTGGGCGCGCCCAAAAGTACCGTAGTAGGTTTGGCTGATTCCTGGTTAAGTAAATCACTTGGTTGTGATTATCCTTACCCAGGATCTCACTATGATTTGCTTAAACATGCAAAAAAATCTAGCATAAAACCCAATTACACAGCCGGGTAAAGCAGAATCAAGCAATTATTGAAGGGAATCTGTCATTGAGATCCTGAAGATCCCGCCTCGTGGCCGAAGAGTGTGATCATTCAGCTTGCCAACACAAGCAGAATATCACGGAGTGTGACACTGTCTTATAACCTTGCAATCATCAGACCCTGAATGAAGAAGCACACAGAAAACTTGTATGAGAACACCTGAAGCTTTGAGCCCCAATAATATAGATTGACTATGCTGCTTTCAATCAATTAATTTCAAACTTGTGTTTGTTTCTTATCTCAAAATCCGTATACAAAATCCAACCCTTTACAAAAAGTAAAAACACGGGGTTTCCTTTGCTAAGAAGCGCACCTAATGCGCCTAGGCGCGGTCCCAACAAGAGAAAAGGGGCGTTGGCGCGTCTTTTGAAAAGAGCACGCGCCCTTAGCCTGACTGTAGTCCGTGGATGCTCTTAGACTCAAGCCCCCGTGTACTCTTTAGCATCGATCGAACAGCGGATGGTACAATATCAAAACGCTCACATTTTGACGTTCCAGACTTACTCGTTCAAAAAATGGAGGAGGTAAGACAAAATCAGGGTAGGTGAGACTAATTTTTTGCATATATGTAAAAACCCGATGACAATCAAGTTCATTTTACTATGTTGATATGTACATATCAAAACTATAAACGCAATATATACTGTCCGTGTTGATAAGAAACAGAAAAGGAATTGGATGATGAGATAACATTCCTGGAGTATATATCAGAAGAAGAAAAGACTGAAATAATTTATGCGTGTGTTTATTAAAACTATCAATAATAAAGGGTATAATTAAAGAGAATTAAAAAAGGTTGATATCTAGAAGGATGGAAAGAGAAATGTATATCACTTGTCCTGTTCCCTTTTCATTCAATATATAGTCCGAGTTTCAACGTTCAGATTGTTCTGTGTGCTTCATGAGCTTATTATTTAACTGTATTGAGAAGTTGAATATATCGGATAAAAGGAAAATAGCAACGATAACAAAAACATCAGTTCTACGGGGTCTTTCATCAAATGATCAAATCAAAGAAAAAAATAATCAAAGAAATTAAAAGGAGATGACGTAACTAGCAATGATAAGAAGCAGAAATGCCTGAAAACTTAACATTAATCCCTCTACTTTCACAAACCTTAATGAAATGTTTTTGTGAAATAGAACCAGGATTATCAAAAAGAATAAGTCGATTTAATTGATCCCAATTAGATTCAATCAAATCACCTAAGCTTTCATAATCAATTTTCTTACGTCCACCACCTAAGATTAATGTTTTAAGATTAGAAGAAGTTGTAAAAGAAATTAAAGATTCAATATTTCCAATCAAACTAAGTTTAATCAGGTTAGGTAAATTAATCTTTTCTATATCTGTTAATTCTAATCTTTCTTCATGATTAATCTTTAATTCTAAAAATCGAAGTGATTTTGAAAATTGTAAAATAAATTCTTTAATCCAACACATTTCAACGGTTTCACATGATTTGATACTTAAATTGATCAATGAACCTAACCAATTTACTTTTGACCAAGATTGATTAAAACAAGTAGATTTTGATATACTTAATGATTTCAAATTATTTTGAGTGGAAAGTAATTGAGCTAAAGGTGAAATTGATGAAATCGATTTACAGATATTATGAGCTTTGAAAACTTCTAATTTATTGATGGTATGGAAATGTTTAATGATTTCTAATTCGTTTATATCGTCTGGAAGAAATTCATCTGTTGGTTTATTGTTGATTGTCAATTGAGTAAGTTGAGGTGCCATTTCACAAAGTAGTTCGTGCCATCTGACATCAGATGTTTTATTCGATTCTGCATGTCATATATCAGGATTACCATGTTTCGTGCTGATGAATGTCAAAGGTGTTGATACGGAAAGACATACCAAAATGACTCGCATCGAAGAAATGATGATCAATTTCGATTACTTCAATCCTACGGTTCTGTAAACTACCACATATCTCATATAATAAGTCCAGAATGAGTGTTGTTGATTCAAGGGAATTTAAAGTCTTTGGACCTGTAATTGCAATTTGTTTAACTTGATCAGAATATTTAGGTAACCATTGATCTCTTATAAATTCAAGTTGTTTTGATGATCGAGATGTTTCAAGGTACTAGAAAAAGAGCAAATTTAAATCAGTTTGTAGATTCTTCAACTCAGTGCTCAAAGAAGAATGACACCTACTTCTCCAACATGTGATTGACAAAATTGATGAAATATCCAATTAACAGAACCAAGCGAATAAATCCGATTTTTCAAATGAATCGAATGGGATGGATGATGCACTTGATTTCGATTAAAGTTAGACTTTGAAACTTCAGCTTGATCGAAAGTATGACACCATTTTAAGATGATGGTTAGAATATCGATCGGTAATTCATTCATTGTGAAAGTTTGATGACTTTGTTGGATAGGATTTGTATCTTGTAAGCTTATCATTTCTACTTTGTTGTTGTTGTTCTTGTGATGCGTGTTGATCGAATGAAATGATGGATGATGTTCGTTAAGATTTGTTTCTTTCTTGTTGCACCCTTTCACCGCCACCACATGGTCTCACTTTTTTATTTCACGTCGCCTTTGTTATCAATACAGCCCTTTGAACCCTAAATTAAGCTCACAAACCCCGCGGGGCCCCACAGTGTTTCCTCAAAACTGTATTTTGTATCAAAATCCCAGTAAGTCAATAAGGGTACATAACAAAACCTCTCAAATTAGGCTAAATCAGCTTAAACTTCTAAAGTTTCCAAGTCAAACCTCACTCACATTGGGTTTTGCACTGTTTTGCAGTTGATCTTGGCGTAACCGTAAACGATGATGGATTAGCAAACTCATCAGCTTATCATGACTCTTAACCAATCGAATTATGGAGAAAAACAACAAAAGACCCACTGGACAAGAAGACTCACCTCCTTCTAAACGTACCCGAACCTCCACACCATCAGATCCAACTCTTCAACCTAAACATACACTCGATCGTTTTGTAAATTCATCTAAACCTGATCCAATAGCAGTTCATGTGACCAAAGAAATCAAAGATCGGAAAAGTGTATTCAAAGCATTAGTTTTCAAAGCCAAAAGTTTATCAGATGTGACAGACATTATAAATTTGGTTAAGCATCGATTTCATTCGAATCCTGCTTCTCATAATATCACGGCTTGGAGGTTTTTATCACTCAAGAAGTCTTGTGATGGCTTAGGAGGACCCGGAGATTTTGAAATTCAGGTTTGCAGGTTTTTGATTACACTCGAGTGACCGGTCAAACTGATTAAATCGGATCCGATATCTCTCCTTCTAAGTCTGGCTATGAAGATGATGGTGAAGCGCGTTCAGGGGCAAAGGTTTTGAAAGTCATGGAAACACTTCAGATTATAGATGCTATAGTAGTTGTCTCTCGTTGGTCTGTCTAATTTTCCTTTGACATCCAGAGAGCAGCTGAAACAGTGGCTAACAAGCTTTGTGTGTTTTGTCTGATCGATTCATCAGGTATGGAGGCGTGTTATTAGGCCCGGCACGATTTGATCATATCGAAACTTGTGCAACAGATGCTTGCAAAGTCTTTCAATCGATCGATGCCTTAGATGATGACTTATTGCGTTTATCAGAACTAGATCTTCAACTTTCTAAACTTAGAATCGAACTCAAGATATTAACAGATCCAGACTTCCTACCAACTTCTAGCCCTTCTGGATCTCAAACCAAATCAGATCCTTATCAACATTTACGAAATCCTGTCAATCTGATTGGTTCGGCTAAATTAATTACTGCACGTGAGAAGGCAATTGCAACACTTCATAAATTGATCCAACAGGCCAAGGACAAAAAATCACCAGTTTCAAGCTCAATTGATGTGACAAATACACTTGAATCAACTTAGGGGTTTTTATGATGTAGCAAAGGAGAATCAAGAAGCTTACCTGTCTTTTGGCTCATGGAGACCAGCTTCGCATTGATCCACCATTACAAATTGACAATTGGTCATAATGAGGAAAATGTGTACAAGTCAAGTTTCAGGAGGCATGAATGTGCATGATTGGTAGATCCTAACAAAGCATTGTTCCTAGTGTAACTTGTCACTTATTTCAAAGTGTAAACAAAATTTCAAGATCAAGACAAAGTCAAAGCTTAGCTGGAGATCACAATTCTGAACTACAAGATTTTTAAAGAAAATCCAAAAAGGGCTATAAAATTCAACTCTGATCAACAAGTTTAAAAGCCTTCCACTTCATGTAAGCCATGCAAATTTGCTGCATCAACTTAGGACCCTGGAGAGTGCAAACAGACCCCCAGGCCCTGTTTGTACTCAAAATTTGTGTTCCTTGGGCTTTGGGTTTTTGTTACTTTTGACACCTTCCACAGACCAACCAAGGTCACAGCTGTCCAGTACATATATTTTTATCACGGTAGGGCCTGTGGTATTGGCTAAAACCCACTGTAGAGCCGCAGCCTTGGTATGTAGGATTCAGCAAGGCTGTCACTATACTATACTATACTATACTATGCTTTACTATACTTGGTATGCTATAGAGTCCAACTATACTTAATTGAACTATACTAGGTATGGTATAGTTCGACAAGTCAATTAAAAATATCTATAACCCTTCTTCAGGTATAGTTGATGAAATGATACTATGCTGAGTATATTTGAGTAAAGTATAGTTTGAACTATACTATACCCAGTATAGTATAGTATAGTGTAGTGGCAACCTTGGATTCAGGAATATCTCTGGATTTGTAAATAAAATGTTTTGGGATTGTTATATTCAGCCATTGCTCCTTTCCAATTCACTAGATTTACATATCACCAGAAAGCCCCTCTTTTCCTGCACATAACAGGGTACTACAGTCGAACCCGCGCAATTGCATACCTGCGCAACTGCATAATCAGCCGTTTTGCATAGGCCAGGACTTCCCCCGACTTGGTGCGGGCTAAAAATTGCATTTATTGCATAATTTTGTCAAAAATGATAATGCATAAGTCAAAACCCAAAAAAACCGGGTCTTGGAAGCCCAATTGCATAGCTTTTACTCAAAATACAGGATAAAAAGTACATAATTAGGCATAAACCTTGAGCCCTAAGTCTTAAAGCCTAGCTCATAACCTGCAAAAATGCATAATGTTATGTATTTTGGCCTATTTCCGTGTATATGCATAACTTTATGCATTTTAACCTATCCTGTATTTTACCTCACTTTGCATAACCCGTGAAATTGCATAGGCCGGATGTTCCCCCCAAATTATGCAATTGCGCGGGTTCAACTGTATATAGCCTTGCAAGTAGGGGAATGTTGTGACCATGAGCCAATACCCAAAAAGTGTGTATATGCACTCTCCAGGGTACTATATTGCATTGCAATTTTGTTTTGCAGAGCCGCATGAGCTGCAATGGCCTATATGACCATTGTGTATGTGGTGCAAAACAGTGGGGGGAGATTTTCTGTGCTTTTGAGGACAGTTTGATGCTTTTCTGTTTGCATCAGGTTACTTTTGAGCAGTATGAACATTACATAAACCTAAATCCCTACGCCCCCCCTTGAAAAATTCAATCAGCATTTATGCCAAGAGCTTTAAGGGTAGGGTGACTACAGGGATTCAGGTTCACTCATTCCCTTGCCGAGTATCCAAAGGTAGTTTGACCTAGAGGTCTCAAGGAATGAGCTTTGTGAATCAATCCTAGCTGACTACTTTCACTCTATTTATACCTTTTCCCTGCGCTGCCATTTCCTATTTGTATGCTCTGACTCCCTATTTCAACCTGCCACCATATGCTTTTTGAAAGCTTTGAACTTACTTTGCCTTCTTATACGCCTGAACTTTTCAAAAGCTCTGCACCTCTCTATCCTCTTATGCACCTTGAAATTGCTAGTATTAAATCACTAAGACACATGCTTTTGATTAGCACATGATATGCTGATATGCTTTTCAATAGCAAGCTTTGCTATTTGAAAGCATCTCCTTTTTCCCCTCTGCACTAATTTTCTCCCCTTATATGTCTTGAAACCACTGATAACTAACAAATTTATGCTTTTGAATAGCACAAGTGATGCTTTTGAACAGCAGGCTTTGCTTTTTGAAAGCATGTACCTTTTTGCATTCTTCATCTTGGGTATAAGCTTACCAAATGCAACCTGGGTATTCATACTACTGATGTAATTCACCATATGTTGATACCTTTTGGAAACACATCTCCCTTTGTTATGTGTCAGCCTCCATTGCAGTTTGTTTTTAAATGATGTTCATTTTTAAATGCACATATGCAACATATGTTCTACTTGCATATTTCCTCAACATTGCAATCTGTATTGTTGTTATATACAACTTTAACTTCCTAATTTGAACTTTGATGATGCTACATTTTTATTGTCTTTGTTCACGTATTCTTCCTAAACCTATCAAGGACTTTCAAGTTTTTGTTCATCTTCATTATACAGCACGCATGTGAGATGATCACACTAAATAGCTCATTCCATTTTATAATCATCAATTCTTTGTCTCTCATATTTTGTTATAGTATATCTTACAGTGGCTTTAGCTCTATTCTATAAGAGTGGTATTGTATCACATCATGTGGGCCAACCATTGGTTTAGGCTACATGGATGTGAGATACAGTGCTGAATGCTTTAACACATTTGCATCCACATTGAGTTTCAATTACTTCAGTGGGCATGCCTGCTTATATTCTAGTGGATCTTGAAGCCTTGGCTTGGCAGCCACAGCTAGTGAGTTGTGGTCCACTCACTTAGCCTTTGGAACACAGATTTTGAGTACAAACAGTGGGTCTATTTGCACTCTCCAGGGTGCTGATGTGATGCAACAATTTGCATTCATTCTTGTACAAGCAGACACAGAAAGTTTACGTCACCCCCGGGGCCCCACCCTACGTGTATTACATATGGTGTAGTGATTTTCCTGGCCCCGGGGGTGACGTGAACTTTCTGCGTCTGCTTGTACATTGCAGGCATGCCTGCAATGTACCCACCACATGAAGTAAAAGGATTCTCAACTTGTTGATCAGAGTTGAAGTTTTATAACCCTTTTTGTGTTTTCTTTGCAAATCTTGTAGTTCACAATATGATTCTCCAGCTTAGCTTTGACTTCATCTTGATTTTGAAGGTTGAGTTACACTTTGAAGTAAGTGACAAGTTGCATTAGGAACAATGCTTTGTGAGGATCTACCAATCATGCACATTCATGCATCCTGAAACTTCACTTGGACAAATCATCCTCACTGATCAATTGTCAATTTGTGACAGTGGATCAATGCTAAGCTGGTCCCAATGAGTCAAAAGGCAACGACGCTTCTTGTTTCTCCTTGCTACATTATAAAAACAACTAAGTTGATTCAACCCTATTTGTCACATCAATTGAGCTTGAAACTGGTGATTTTTTGTCCTTGGCCTCTTGGATCAATTTATGAAGTGTTGCAATTGCCTTCTCACATGCAGTAATTAATTTAGCAGAACCAATCAGATTGACAGGATCTTGTAAATGTTGATAAGGATCTGATTTAGTTTGAGATCCAGAAGGGCTAGAAGTTGGTAGGAAGTCTGGATCTGTTAACATCTTGAGTTAAATTCTAAGTTTAGAAAGTTGAAGATCTAGTTCTGATAAACACAATAACTCTGAGCTGCTCAAAGGTGGTTGAATTTTAAATATTCTAAAATATATGATTGCTGTGCTTAAGCCACTGTTCAAAGTTAATCACACACACTGGTCAAAATGATGAATTAGCCACTTGAGTCAATGATCAACTCCAACCCAAATCATTTGAACAGGCCCCTTTTCCTTGTAGGTTGTATGGGATGGTATATAAAACCTTCCCAAAATATTGAACCCTGACTCATATGTCCTTACACATTCAACAAAGGGGCTTTGAATGCATCTTTCATCTATCAATAGTTCTTGAAACACCATATATTTTCAAGTATCTCCTTGTCCAAACACATTCCAGCTTCATCTTACTTGATTCTTCCTATATCCATCACCACATAGAACCACATTTATCAAATCCATGTACAAGTCACACAAAGCAAGAGCATATACCAAGACATAGTCATACATGGTTTCCTGTTTTGTGATTCTGGAAATGTGGAAAGGGGGGCAGAGGGTTCATTTTGCATGGTGGATGTCTCAAAAACAGTATTGAATGATACTGTCACCTACCATGTTTTAAATGAGTCTGAATACCATTCTGAAGTGCTGTGCGGTCAAAACTTTACAGAGAGTCAATTTCTGTTGCATGTATGATATATGTCTGAGATCCGTGTTTGAAAGAAGATAAGATTCATAGATTATATGCTTGAAAAAACTGCATATGTTTCCAAGATAACTGAAGAACACAAGAACTTTCCAGATATTCCCAACCCCAACCAATACCAATAGAGCTTTGGAGCCCAAAATTTTCTTTCTCTGGATCATCATCATGAACTGGCTCCCACATACTTGCAAATCCTTCAATGCTCAATTAGTATACTACCTGGTCATACAGGCTGCAAGATGTATGGAATATCATTCCAACAATGCACTTAATAGTATATTTGAAGGATCAATATACAATGGGGTGTTAAACTGTGAAGACACAAGGAGTACACCTATCAATGAGCCGGATATGGGCCATGGGAATCAAGATTTTTCACACCTTCAACTACCAACTGATGTGTGGAGCCATTTTGCCACCTCAAATTATGAACAAGATTCTAGGGAGCAATTGAATCAAGATTTCCAAATTCAGCCAGATATTTCTCAGACATTTGGTTCAGGTAATTTGCATATGTGGCAGTCATTTCATGACTCAATGCAGGGTTATGAAAATGATACAGGGGCACAAGATCATCTTTGCACCACTGACATTGGTATATGTCATAACAGTCATAGTTCACATGTGAATATGATTAACAAGGCAGGGATCTTAGAATTGGATAACACAGGACACATCCCATTATCATACATGCCAGGCCACCATGGGTTGTTCTACCCCCCAGGTCATGATTTCAACATTGGATCTCAGTTGATCTCTCCAACTGGGAAAGCACATGTATTTGAAGATACAAATAGCATTCATCTTCAATCATTTTCACCAGAAGTGCAACTACCTCTTGATCCTTGTTGGAATGCCTTTGATCAAATAATCCCACCAACTCCTTTGAATGATGTCAATATCTACAATGTACCAAATTCACATTCAACAAATTTGGTAGCCTCTGTTCCTCAGTCCTTCATGTCTGATACTATATATAATCCAATACTTGAGGGAGGCTCTTCAGTACAATTCTTTGGTCATCAGAATTTTGATACAAGTGCAGTTAAACATTACAAAGAATCAAATGTGTCCCCAAACCTCATTCCATTTCATCAAGCAGATCACAATAGTCACATCTTGGACAATTTATCATCAGCAACAATCATGTCTCAAAATGAAGCCCAAACTCCTAGAATTGTTCTTGATGAACCACAGGTTGAAGAAAATAAGGGAAGTGATCATGACGGCTGGGATGATCTCTTGAAGCTCAGTTCCCAGCTTCTGAGTTCATCTTCCAAAAATACCACAAACCGTAAGAAAAAGGTATCAGAAATAATGAGAATGGAGAAGTGCAAGAATTTGAGATCATTGTCCAGAACGGAGAAAAAAGAAAAGTCAAAATCTAAATTCAGAGCCACAAATATACCACAAGCGTTCAACACACCGGTAGATCAAAATCCCAAACCTTTGAACAAACCAAAACATCACGTTGCTAGGAGGATGACCAACATCCTTTATGAGCAGGGAAAGGGTATTATATCAAGGAGCAGTGATCTGCAAAAAAGCAATGAAAAGTGGCTCAAAGATTGGAGAATAAGATATCAAATCTCCATTGATAATCTAGATCCCACAAGAAGTGTTACACAGCTTGTTACAAACAATTTGGACCGGGTGAAAGGTAGGGTGAAGGATGGAGTTGTTGCAGTATTCCTTGGATTGGTAAATCAGATTGATAGATTTGAAAAACCACAAATTTCTCCAGATGCAATTTTGAAAGACAGCTTAAAATTCATACATGGGTATATGAATAGATTATTGGTATTTGATATCCAGAGCTTGCAAGAAATTGATCTTCATATACCACTAAATAGGTGTACTTCAACCACACCCATGAGGATATTACATGAACTATCTTTGTCTAGGAAGAGAAATGAGATCAAGCCTGGGGTCTATTACCACATTTGGAAAATCTGGAGGTCTGAAAGGTGTCTGTCACTGCCAGTAGCTCCCTACCGTATTTGGTTTCCAGCACTGAAATATTTGACACTTCAGAAGAATGGTGAAACAGGAAAAACTTTACAAGTCATCAGCAGGTGTGTCTCCACATTTGCAAGTAAAAAGGTCTTTGATAGGCATAATAGCAAGGTATGGTTGCTGCAGGAAGGGAGAATATGTATTGCATCTATCATGAAGATTGAAGATGAAGTAACACAATTCTATGAAAACTTGAAGTTGACACTTTTAAGCAAGATTAAACAAGTAAAAAGTTTGAAACCTCATGAACTTGTACACTACACAATGGGAGTTGAAGCATCCATGAAACTATCAAAACTTGTAATAGTTCCAACCATTTTTGGTGCAGTAAAGATGATTGTTGATCATCATCCAGGAGAAAATGATTCTCTTCGAATCATACTTCAAGATGTCTGGGAATTCCTTCAAGGCCAGTTCTCCGTTCTGACAACATTCAATTTGGAGAATATATTTTGGCAACCAACTATCACAATGGAAAACATATTTGAGGACCTCTACCAAGATCCTCAATACATGCCCAGTGTATTTGGAAAGCTTGCAAGCGGAACATTCTCTAGTAATTTCAAGCCTATTGTATGGAGTCTTTTGAAGAAATGGTCAAGCACAAAATTGGAGTTGAAATCAACTAAAGAGTGCACAGCAAGTATATTGGAAGGGTACAATGATACAAATTATACAGAATTTGTTGAGGCAATGTTACCTCCTTGATTAACTCCCCTAGTATGGAATATATATGTTGAAAAATGTGCCCAGCTGCTGAATTTCTTTCTTCCTAATAGAAATGGGCAATCTTTTTTTGAATGGAAACTGTGTCCTAAAACACATCATGATAGACTAAAAAAGCACGCTTTGACTTGACAAAGCCATGTACTACAGAAAGATGAGATCATCTCTTTCAACCCTTGAGTAATCTGAAAATTTTAAGAATGGAGAAATGTGAACAGATTGGTTTCTCTGTTATGATGTGCCCATGAGAAAGCTAAGAAAGAGGTACTCAAAATCCTTAAAGGAAAGAAATTGTTCAGAGAGTATTCCCCTTAGCATCATGTATCAGCTTGACAGTGTAGCTTCAACCATGAAGCTTATGTATATGGATGATCCCTGATGCATGTCACAGACAAACTAACAACTACAAGATACTCATTTGGTAAGCTCAAGGAGAACAAATCACTTGCACAATACAAGGTTGGGGACCTTTATCTGTTGCAAAATTTGATATCACAGCTATGAAAGGTTCAATTGCTGCATGGATACACAACACAAACAGTATATCGGAAAAGTATGGTACTCAAATTCAAAAGGTAGCATCTGACTTATTTGAAAATACTACTTCTTTCTTTTCAAAACCTAGGCCCCAACTGGAAAACATCCATAGATTTATTGGTCCTTGTTGCTGGTCACCCACTTTGTGGAAAACCTGATCAACCCCCCATCTGGCTGTTAATTTTCACATAGGATCATTTCAAAGGTCAAGCCAATGGCCACATTAGTGTCTTGTTGGTGAGTATTTGGACATACAACTCAATAGTCAGCGTGAGGCATGAGGAAAAGGAGATACTGACAGGATAAGTAAGCACAGGGTCCTCAAAGCCACAAGGTTTTGGGAAACATATTGATTTTTTCCCTGCCAAAAAAAACTGAGATTCTAGGTTTAAAAGAACTTGGCATCTACCTTTCAACTCTGACTACCGCTATTGGCCAAATAAAAGTGCATGGCCATATGTCTTACACCTAACGTAGATCAAAGGTCCATGTGTATGCACTCTCTATCTCTGCTCTACAGGTTAGCTCTGGATTTACAGGCTCATCGTTTCGGATATGTCCAGTATACAAGGTAAGTACAGTCAAATTGGAAAAGCTTGACCAATTTTGCCTGCAAAACTTGAGCAAATTGGTGGGGAATCCCAACACTGGACCTACTTCTGAAGTTCTGAGGCCCTGCGTGGTCTGACTCCCGGTCTGTTCCGAGCTCCAGACTGTGTAAAGTGTCGGAAAAGAAGAGCCTTTTCCTAGCCTATGGATGGTGGGTGGGTGCAAAAAATTAAACTCTTTGATGTTTAAACAACTTAAAGAGCTTGAATAGCTTGAATGCTCAAACTCACGACATGAGGTGCAGGAGAAGAATTCCAGAGAGGAAGGAAACTCTTTCCAATTCTCTCTCTATATCTTTGACTCACCTGACCGTGTCGTGTATGCATTACTGCATGTGCACCCAGTCGATTTTACCCTCCGAACTACGATAGAATCTTCTTACCACGTTGTTCCTTCGGAGGGAAGGTGTCATCAAGGTGCGAGGAGGCCAAAATTAAATCAGGTTTCCTCTCTCCTGCGCAGACAGGCAGGCTTTTGAGAAGGGGACTTGTACCACTTTTGGGTCTTCAACAAGCAGGATTCTTGTACCTTGAGGCTTAGTCAAACTTGATTTTGAGGCTTTCGCATGCCATCCAGCCTTACTTTCAAATCACAAGTCCGTCTACAAGGTCTTGAATGACTTTTATTGATGGCATGAGGTGATCAAAGTTTGAAGAACTGCTTGAATTCCGAAACACTACCTCGCCGGTCGTGCCTTCTAAATTTTACATTGATCAATATTCTGGTGAGCTGCGTTGCTGTTGAGATGATGAGTTTACTTTCTGTTTGACAATTATTCTCAAATCAAGCAAGTTCACTACTCCACTCTTTATCACCTTAGACTTGGTATTCAAAAAGATATCTTTCCCAGCAGAACACCTCAAACACTGGGACTTTCCTTTGCTTAAGCTAGAGTTCAACTCGCTGGGTTTCTAACCTTCATTGAAATCAACCCATCCCTTCTTGAATTATGTAGCATGATTGCATTTTGATATGACTTTTCAGCAGGAAATTCTCCTCTTACATCACAAAGTTTTGTACCAACCTTTTCTTCAATTAAACATTTTCTGATTCTTTGGATTTCGCGTTGTTTTTTTATTAAAGAAATCTTAACTTGATCAGTCAGTATAAGAAGATTTTTTTTATTTTCATAACAACTTACTGAGCCGATTGCAAAACATCAATTTCTCGTAAGTAGCTAAGAACATCGATAGTCCACAACCATCTTCGAAAAAAGAAGCTCAAGTCTTTATCTCTTGAACTTTCATACGAGCCAACAAGTTTTTCAAAAAAATATCACTAGCCTTCATGGCATTCTTCATACATAAGCTTACATTGTACCACCTTTCCTTCTCAATCGAAAAGAAAACACACAGACACACACACTCGATGAATCCAACTTTTTCGGTGCTGAGCTTTTTGTTTATGCGCATTAACTTCATATATAGTACCTTAATCTTGATCAAAAACCAAACCGAAGATGATCAAATATCTTTTAGCATCATTGAAAAAATGGCAGTTTATCATTTTTGATTCCTTTTGATAATATTCCTTAAACACTTTATTAAACATATTCATATTTTTTTCCTCATCACAAACCATTCCTGACACCTCACCTCACCTGACGAGTCAAATTCCTCAGAAACCAAAGAAAGCCCCTCACAAACCTCAAATCACTCAGAAAAAAACCCTCGACCTAAATCTCAATTTTAAACGCAAAAATCATAATATTTAGAATGCATAGAAACCAAAACATAATCATCAATGAATTTATGTTTTGTAATTCACATGGAAAAGAAACGTGTCAAGAATGTTTAGTTGATCATAGATTAGGAAACAATTTAATTTTAGAAGATGATTTGATTCAATCTATTATGAGTTTTGATTGGGTTGTAAGTACATACATTGTCTTCTTTAATAATTATTAAATAATTATGTTCAAAACCATCTTACACAATTTTGATGATCAGTCTTGTTTTTTTTTGGAAAAATAAAATTGTGATTAGAATTCTAGACCGATTGATATATACGATTTAATAGTAAAGTTCTTTTCCCACTCCTTCAGTCAACCATCAACTAACTTCTTGTTTCCCATTTCTGACTTTATAAATTTCTTTTTTCCCATTGCTGATTATATTAATTTTTAATTTAGGATCGTAAACCAATAGAAGTCTACAAACTAGGAGTCACTCCACTAATCCCCAACAATCCAGTTCAAAGTACGATCCATCAAACTCAAGATACAACACTTTATCAATGTTTAAATCATCAAACCATAAATTGTTCAATTTGTTTTAATTGGATTCAAATCATTTTAAATGGTTTATATTTGTAAAATCAGAAAAAGGAAAAATTAAAATCAATTAAAATCTCTTGATAAAACTCTTCTTCAAGTGTTCATTCTTTTTGTTTCTTTGTCATTTTGGTTTTTTGGATTTCTTTATTTATATTTTTCGATTTTCTTTTTGGTTTTAAGTTTAAATGTAAAACTACAGTCATTTTATTTCTATAATACAAATCACCTCTAATTCCGGACCCAAATATCCTTCCACAAAAAGATAACCCAAAACGAATTTCATCCAATCATCAAACCCAATCCTTACCAACCCCAAAGACTCATCAAACAATCACATTTTTGTTCCATCCAGTATGAGTTCCAATCGTTTAAGCACCAACTTGTGATCCAAGTTGATGAACAGACTTAGCTTTCACTTTCGGTTTAGTAGCCATCAATCTTTTCAAAGTACTCATCGGAAACTTAGTTCTACAAGTCGAACAAACCGGTATAGGTGTACAAAAAACTTAAAATCATATAATTCCAAAAAAAACCCAACATCAATATATGTCAAGATCGCAAAGGAGGGTGGGGGGAGAGGGAAAAGATGGTTTACTATACTTACTTGATAAACAAACTGAACAAACATAACCAAGATCGATAATCTTTCGATGACAAAAACATGCAGCACGTAGGTCGACTTCTTCTTGTTGAGGCAAATTCAAAGATTTTCGTATACTTACACCTGGAAGAAAGATCATCTTGAAACCCCCAAAAACCAAAAAAAAAAGTCAAAAGTCAATTTTTTTGAATTGTATCGAAGGAGGCGGGGAAAAGGAAGAAGAAATCAAACTTACAGTCAAGTATTGGATCAAAGCTTTAGGTTTTTCAAGTCTATAATAAATCCCATTAGTCAAGTAAGAAGCTTGTTGTAAAAAAACTGCATCTTCTCCTGTGATTTTACAAACATCAATTGGAATACACTTTTTTTGAAAAGAAAAAAAATCAATAAAACCCCTTCAAAAAAAAACAAACCAAAATTGAAAGACTTACAGATTTTTGAGCTGAAAAAATACAATTCATCATGGGAATATATTGGCCGGGTGAGTCGGGTGAAATACTTATGATTAGGATTCTTGGTTTTAGGGAATCTTTTGGTCGGGTTTCTTCTTTGGTTACTCGATTGATATCTAATTTCCAATCCCCTCCAAAAAAATAAGTTTCAAGATCAAGAAGAGATTAAAGGGTTATGTGGAAATTGATTTACGACATAAAGCTTTAGCTAATGCATTAACTGTACCAGTAGGTTCTACAAAAACCCAAACCAAAATCTCATCAAAATCCCATTCAAAGTCCTACAACTTAAACCAAAAAAACCACAAAAAACACACACACTTACGACCACTTTTCAAATCTTGATCATTAACTTTCATCAATTTCTTAACACAATCAGAAACACAATCATCCAAAACCCTAAAAGTTTGATACGTATTAGAATCTCTATGCCCCGAAACCGAATCATTCTTAACCCCATTTTCTAAAGTAGAATACAACAATTCACTTAACCCCCCCCAAAAAAAACCAAAAAAAAAAAAAAATCAGTTTCGGTAAGAGGTTTGGTTTGGTAAGGGGATGGGGATTACCTAGTTCCAATCATTGAAGCATAAATTGCTAAAGAGTTTTCATGTCTTATTGATAAATGTGTGTTTGAGAATACCAAGACTGTTTCCAAGAAAGATGTGAGTTCAATAAACTCTTCTGATGATGTTGATTGGTGTTTAAAATTCGACCATGAAGATGGATTTAAATCTAACTACTTAGATGAAATGTCAATTTTAAGTTTTTTTTTGGGTTTGATTAAGTTGAAGTGTGTGGATGCTTACTATGATGATTAGTAAATCGGCTGGATCGGTTAATGGGTTCATCTTGATTGAACGGTCTCGAAAGAATAAATGGATGGAATCGATAGAATTGGTAAAGAACAGTTGATCGAACTCTGAGACTGAAGTTTGAACTCTGGAGGAACGCGATCCACTTGCTCAAACCCATACTCATACTTCTTGTAATCCCATGTATCTCCAGATCTATCATCTCCATCATCAATTCTCATTCTCATTTCCCTCAGCAACTTTGCATTTGTAGGCTCAGCATCAGTTGACTGAAATGAAATCAGAAAGACCAAGATAAAAAGATTTGCTTAATCTATGTACATAGTGTTGACTGATTTCAAGTTGGAAATCCTTCGATCAAATTTCATGACTTTTAATCAACTCAATCAAAACCTCATCTCTGAACTTCAACTTCAAAGAGTTCATGAAATTCAATATATAGATTGTGAGAACACCATGAGTCTTTTATATCTATCTTCCCAGTTCAGATGGAACCTGTTTTTTCAATTAAATATGTCTGGAGTAGAGCATTTATGGGATACAAAGTGGATCCCACTTTCCTCGATTAATAATGCCTGGAGTAGGGCATTGACCTGTTAAAAGTCACCTCAATCATGGGCTGAGATTTCAGGTCAGACTTTGAGCACCGCCAATGCCATGCACTCATCTGTAGTCAAAATACCACAACAACACTCAATACACCCAACTGAATGATCAGCTTCAGATAAAAGAGCCATAAGAAAACAAAGAATCTTTCAAGTTTGAATTAAACAAATTCATCTTTTGATATGTTGTAGTACACACTGCTAATGATTCTTTTGAATATTTAACTCAAGACTGGGTAAATCAAAAAATGAAACAACACCATCATTCAAGTTGCAAATCATACAACAAAAAGATTGAACATTATCGGAAAAACAGTTTAACTCGATTTTTTATCTGCTCCTGGTCCATCTACTCGTTTTCCAAGAGTCTTTTATTTCAAAAACCAAAACCAATCAATCAGTTTTTTTTACGAATTGATACATAGATTTGTCATGTCTAATGTGGTAAACCAATCAACTCACATCAAGTTCTTTTTGTAAATCTTCAATCTTTTGTTTATACTTCTTTTCAACTTCAGTAGAAAATCCCTTTTCACGTGTCTGACTAGCAGCCTAAAAAGAAAAGCAAAAAAAAAAAGATCAATCGATTCAGTTTCGAAAAAAAAAAGTGAAATGGATTGATAGGAAAGAGTGACCCACTTGTTTCTTTAAAACAGCTAAATCTTCTTGAGCTTTAATCAAATCCAAAATCAATCCAAACGTTCTTGAAAGAATCAAAGATAAGAAAAGTGTAAAGCCTCTCATATACATATCACGTTCACTGTAGATCCCCCAAAAAAAAAGAAAAAAAAAAAGATTCAGACTTTGGAAAAAAGGGACTGAGGAGGATAGAGTGGGTGGATGGAAAAGGCTACCTGAGAAACTTTCGACTTCTCCAATCGGTTTCACTCCTTAAATCTCGTCCTACTCCTGCTCCCTGTTCACGTGCTGCTTGTCCTTCGTTATGGATCTTGGTCATTCTCTGAACCGAATCTACAAATAAAACCTATCCAATCCAAGAAACCAAAACAGTTAGAATCATCAATTGAAGATTTTTTTCCAGGGGGGGTTTGGGATTGGATTTCTGAATGACTTACACCAACAAAGATGAAAAGGATCTTAAGACCATATTGAAGTTTGGCAATCAAAGGTGAAGTCGACAAGAATTTGAAAATCGATCTTCTCCAAGTGAATGGTAATGGCATCTAAACAAGACCGAAAACCCAAAGAAAAAGTCAATCCCAAAGGTGATGAATGGTTTGGTCTAGAAGGTTTGATATGATGATCTGGAAGTAAACAAGAAATGATCGGAATGACGTACCACCAAGACTATAAAGGTGACGATCTCAAAGATCAATAAGGCAAAGACCATCCAATTATATAACTATGTAAAGCGATCGAAAAAGAAAGATCGAATAAAAGAATAAGCATCAAAGTATGAAGAGATAGAAACTTGAATGGTGTTCTTACGGCCATGGTTGAGAATGTGTGTAGTTGTAGTTTGATGAATTGGGTTTTGTGGTTGGTTGATAAAGAAAAGTTAGATAGGAGGAAGAGATGAAGAGTTGATCGATTGCTAAATCCAATTGACAAAGTGGCTGTGACTTTCAACTCAACTCAACGGAATTGGTCAACCAAACACAAAAACAGTCTACGTCATAAGGGAAATGCCCCGAGTACCGGAGTCACACAACCCGATGAGAATGACAATGACCCGAAGAGACATCAAATTCATCAAATCCAAATCAAACCCATTCACAACAATCAATCGACCGATCAATCAAATGGAAGGATTCGATTTACCATTCGAATTCGGTAAAAAAGTTAAACAAAATGATATTTCATCCAAGATTTCAAAAACCAAACGAACCACCACCACAACCCCATCAGAAAAAGACCAAGAAAAAGAAAAAGAAAAAGTAAGCACAATCGCCCAAAACCCCCAATTTTCAACCCAACTAACGAACTCCATCCTCATAAAGCTAATCGAAACCACATCACAAGAAGAAGCAGAAGAAGAAGAAGAAGAAGAAGAAGGATTACCAATCAGTCACGAAGTCGAACTAAAAGACCATTCTAAGACGATCTCATCCGTTTCTCTTGACCCATCAGGTGCAAGAATCGTTTCAGGTTCATACGATTATTTTTGTAAACTTTGGGATTTCGGTGGAATGAATTCGAGTTTTAAACCTTTTAGAAGTTGGGAACCTAGGGAATCTCATCAAGTTGATTTCCTTTCTTCTTCTTATCTTTTGGTTGAATTTCTTGTTAATTCAAGTTTTTGGTTTGGTTTTGGGTTAGGTTCATCAAACTCTTTGGTCGAATACTGGGGATTCTTTTTTGGTCATCACTGCTTCTAATCAACCTCAGTTATATGATAGGGATGGAAGTCAACTTGCTGAGTATATTAAAGGTGATATGTATATTCGAGATATGAGACATTGCTCGTCAGTTTGAGTTTCTCTATTTCGTTTTCTGATTTGAAAATTTAAACTTTAGAAACTCATCTCCAGGGTTATTTTTGGGCGGATGGAGGATTTAGGGGTCATATTGCTGAATTAACTAGTTGTGCTTGGCATCCTAAAGATAATAAGACGTTTATTACTTCAGCTGCTGATTCTACTATCAGGTTCGTGTTTTTTTGGTCAAGGTTTTTACGTAGAGTTTAATGATTTATTTTCATGATGTTTTTTGGGGGGTGGTACTTTTAGGATTTGGGATGTAGAAAACAAACGGAAATCGAAATCGGTGATTGTCTTGAAATCAAAAGAACGTGGGACACGTACCAAGATCACAGCTTGTACTTATTCACCTGATGGTAAAACTATTGCAGCTGGTCAGTAAGCTTCTTAATTCGAAGATCTATTCGAATCCTTCAATTCGGTTTCTTGACGTCTTTCTTTTGGTGTGGTTGGGTTGGGTTTAGCTGGGATGGATGGGACTTTGAATCTTTGGGCTACTAGTAGTAATTTTAGTAGACCTAATTCGTCAGTTGAAAATGCTCATCAAAAGAATTCGGAAACGTCTTGTTTGCAATTCTCGAATGATTGTAAAACGATTGTAAGTAGAGGAGGTGATAATACTGTTAAACGTACGTCTTTTTCTTCTTTACTCAAAAAAATCAAACGAGAAAGACAAAGAGACTTATGAAGACGGGGTTTTTGTTGTTCTTGATAGGTTAGTTTGGGATGTAAGAGCTATGAAGAAAGCGTTGGTGGTTAAAGATGGAATGGGTTCTATGAATCCGGAAACTAATTTGTGCTTTAGTCCTGATCAAAAGTATATCTTGACTGGAGTCTCGGCTGAAGTGGATCAAAACTTGGGTGGAAGAGTCGTGGTTTTAGATAAGACTACACTTGAAATCCATCAAACAATCGGTGAGTTTCTTTTCGAATATGATTCTTGAATGTTTTGGTTTGACAGTCACTGAGATTTTTGGGGAATTTGTGGGTTTCTATAGCCATTTCAAAAGCTAATGTAGTCAGAGTTTTATGGCATCCTAAGATCAATCAAATCTTAACTGGTTCATCAGACGGAACGATCCATGTACTTTATTCACCGACTTTATCGAGCAGAGGTGCGACTTTATCATTAAGTAGAACGGCCAGAGTGAGAGGAGCAGGAGAAGAAGATGTAGATTTAGAAAGGCCGATCATCACACCACATGCTTTATCGATGTATAAGACTGATGAACCTATTGTGGCAGGAGGTAGAGGAGGAAAGAGGAAGAGAGAAAGAGAAAGACAAGATCCGGTGAAGACTTTGAAACCGATGCCTCCTTTGACTGGGCCTGGGAAAGGTGGAAGGGTGGGGGCTAGTGCTACTCAACATGTTGTACAAGGTTTGGTTAAGGATTCGATTCGACATGAAGATGTGAGTGATTTTTCTATTCAAAACCGATTTGAGACATCCACTGATGGATCAATTTCTGTGTGTGTGTGTTGAATTTTTTTTCATGTAGCCAAGAGAAGCATTATTAAAATTTGCAGCAGAACATGAAGGAGAATCATCCAAGTTTACAGGAGCATGGGAATCTACTATGCCTAAACCGATTTTTGATGAAAGATTATTGGAAGAAGAAGCGAAAGAAGAAGCCGAAAAAGAAGCAGCAGAAGAAGAAAGAAGAAGATTGAAAAGAGAAAGACCTACTAGGTTGATTTGATAAAGTCAACTTTGGAAGGGGTTTTGTATATTTGAGTGAGGGGGATTTTTTTTTGGATGGTTTGTAAGGATGGATTCGGTTGGGGGATTTGTATTACTTTTTTTGATTTTTTTCATTTTTGTTTTGGAAGAAGCATTTACAAAATAAAATGTAGAGAGAAATAATAGCAAGATTTCTTTGGAAAAAGTAAGATTGGGTTTGTGGATAAGACGATTTAAGATATTGAAAAGTTAAAAAGAATACTAGGTAAGATGAAATGATCGAAAAGCAGAGATATTTATATATGAATGTACAGGGTTGGTTGGAGATACACTTAAGGATACGAAAGCATATAGTGGAATCTTTTAGGCTTTTTTTTCTTGAGTTTTTTGTAATGTTTCGAGGATCATTTATGGGTCCGTTGATTGATTGATAGATGGATTAACGTCTTTCGAAAGCTGATGATCTACCCATGAACTAAACCATTAGAAAGATAATGAAGAGAAAAAAACAGATGAGTGAATTGGTAGGGTTCATAAGGAAATTAAGAAAAAACTTACTACAATGACAAAATCTAAGATCCATTCTATTAAATATAAGAAATCAAAAGGAAAAAAAGAATATGTTAGTTGAACTCGTAGAAATAAAAGAAAGGTAAGATGAGTTTTGAAGAGAAAAGAAAAAAAAGGTGTATATGAAAGTTTGTTTACCTCCTAGTTCTAAGTAAGTTAATAAGAATTGTTTGAGTTCTTTATTTTGAATTTTAGTAATTGCAGGTCTACCAAAGGAAAAAAAGAGAAGATTAGATAAGAATCATCAAAAGAGGCTTTTTTTATGGGAAGGAAAAGAAAAGGATAAGATGACTTACGAAAGACCTGTTGATCTTTTAATACCTGATAAACAAACACTAACGAGGGTTGCATCTATTGCGAAATGTAACTATGAATGTATAGATGAAGAGAAAATAGGTTAGGATTCGATGCGTGTGTGTTTTGTTTTGGTTGATTGGTTTGATTGAGGGATTGATAGATTTACTAGACCACTTGTTGAGAAACCGAAAAGACTTGCTACTGGTACGATTAAACTCATGACGTTTGTGATCATCTTGTTGGTGAGGTTTTGAGGATCAGTCTGTTTTGAGAGGTTCTTTTTTCGTTTTGGGTCTTGGATTGAGATTGGTTTGGAATGGTTTTTGGAATATGGTGAGATGGTGAAGTGGATGAGTTGGTCGAGCTTGGTAACTTGGTAGAAGTGACTCGATGAACCTTTACAGTTACACATCATCATTCACATACACATAAACTTAATCACTCGACTTCACTTGAACACTACACATCACTCTTCTTTATTTGAAACACAACTGCGATAGATATTTATAAATATGTGACCATGTTCGCAGTCAAGGAATTTTAGGGGTCAATCACAGTCCATTCTTGGAATCTGATAAATTGGCACCGCTTGAAACCAACTACATACGTGGTGTAGCAGAAGAGAAGCTGAGTTGATTCTTCTGTCTCGTCAAAGTCACGAAATGACTAAGATCCAACTAGCCATACATCAATGCTGCTTTGAGTTTTTTGTAATGTTTAAAAAACCTAGAGAACTCCTCATGAGCTGAGATGCATATTGTTTGCATTTTTTTTTGAAAAAAAAATACAGAAAATTGTTGGAGGGCTGGGAGGTCAAAGTATATAAAATCTGATACACTTCTTGGTCAACGTCATGAAGTTGAAGATTTCTAACTAAGAATCACTTTGGCTTTTATGATCTCTGTAGTCTTACACGAGCACTTCTTCATTTTCCAAATATCTTTCAATTGAACCTTTATCATGAAATCATTTTTCAATCTTTTTTTGTGGTGAGATCAATAACAGTGAGGTTTCTCTGAATCAGATTTTTTTGAAAGTTTGCCTATCCTCTACTGGAAGAAGTGACCAGGGGAAAGGAAGTGAGAATGTAAAGACCAGTGGATTGGTTGTTTTTATCATTTTGTTTCAACCTGACTTCAAGGGGTCAAAAAACTAATCAAATGTAAGGTATTGAGAAGATTACCATAAGGGCAACTCACGCACGGGAGATTTCCATGTTTTTTGGAGACATATAAACTCATTTGAAGACTAAGCAAGAATTTACTCCCTACTTCAAGACTTCATCTCTTTGCAAGTATAAATTATGTACTCACTGAGTGAAAAAAGATCTGGTTTTGTTGTTCAGACTTGATAAACATCATATATGTATGGTCAAGGTGTTATGGGATTGTGAGTACCAACTCAAGGCACGACTTTATGCGGAAGTCCATGATAAGTGATGACGTGCAGATGTGAAAGTTTCCCGTATGCTCGTAGCGGGGAGTCTCAAGCGAAGAATCTTCAGGTAGCTAGTGGAAAAAAATCCATCCACTCCAACGCTACGACCCACACACAAGCAGATCACACCTAGACACGACTCATTACTCATAGTCTTCGAATTATTACCACTTCAAAATAACCGGCTGGTTTTTGGTGATAAGGAGTTTTTCTCATCAACGCAAAAACTGAACAGCCGCTGGCGGCGCCCCTCCCGTACTGCTTAGGACTGTCATAAAACACACGTCTGTTTTAAGCCTTAGTTGGTATGTTTAGATGTAATAAACACCGAACACACTCATCCGAACAAAATGGACTTATGACATTCACCATGTGAGATGAGGATATAATCATCCTAAGCTTGGCTTGTTGATTTATTTTTCGGTTCTCAGAAGCGTTTGATTAAATTCATGATCCATCACATAAGCATTTCATTTAGACTATGCTTTATTTCAACACACTACATACAAACAAATTGTTTCATGCGGATCTGACGGAACACAATCTAGATCAATTTCGCTTCCCAGTATCGGCGTCAGGAAAGGGTGATCTGAATTTGTTTGGGATTTGATCGATTCCTTCGACCTTTGAAGTTGATAAAAATCCTAGATGATTCTCCGTCCCAGCATCGGTCTCAGGAAGATATGGTTCGGTGTCTCGTTGACTGTTATTTTCATCAAAGTGAAGAAGCTGACGGGGAACCTATTTGAGACGATCGACGTGATGTATCATGAAATTAGTGAATGATGTTTCTTACTGGTATATCAAGAATAAAAAAGACGTACTTCCTCAGCCCACTTCACCAGCCTCTACAATCACGGGAGCTACCCTGCGATATCAATTCAGATACCGGATGTTTCAATTGCTCTCCTTTATAACCATAATCAGTCATCACGGGTGGACAATTTGGAACGTTTCCGCGTGCGTCTTCTTTACACTTTGCCTATGGAGAGAAGATTTGGTAAGTTGAAAGATTTGATGATGAAGAGAATAAATAGATTCCATGACTCAACTTTACACCAAATCTCATTTCTTGAAGGTGCTTTTGGATCTTTGTTGTGAGTGTTATATCCAGCATACGTACATCCCATCGGATTAGCTACAGCTCCGGTACAGAACACTTTGGTAGTCGTATCAACGTTGGTTGGATCATATTTTTGTGAATTATATCGACATACTACACACTTGTCAGCCGAGACTGAAGATGTGAAGAGGATAAACGTTGTGAAAAGAATGAATGATTTCAAAATTTGAAGCATTTTTTGTAAAGGTTGAGAAGATGATTTTCAGAGTGATGCGCGCAACACGACTGGAACAGAGAAACCCACAGCAGTGTGGTTTTTAATCTGGTCCGAATCTTAGGCTGTCTTAAGGTGAGCTGTAGTAGTGCTCAGGGTTTAAATGGAGATCTTTCAATTCCTCACAGTTAGATCAAGACCCTTTTGGCTCCCCCGTGTTAGGTTCACTGTAAGGTCTAGGAATAACGGGTGTTTTTTTTCTTTTTGATGAAGACTCACTTTTTGGGTACGAAGTGATTTGTTTTGGTTGGCTAGCTACTCGTACTCGTACCCAACGATCTACATAGGAGATATGCTGATGACTACATACTTAGATTGGTTCGAGTGATGAGAAATGTGAAACTATTGTCTGTATCTCACATTATAATCCATGTACTCATGAAGATCGGAATCAACATCGAGTGCCCGACATTCTGCATAAGTCTGAATTCACTTCTTTAAAAGATCAACTGAAAATTTGAGTGCACCAGGTGTTCAGCAGCAGTGAGACCGGGGGCCCTTCTCCAATACATGCGAGGAACCGGGCACTGTTCGACCGGCCCATTGTCATCGCAAGTTATTGTGCTTTGACTTTGATGGCAGTAGGCATCCAACATCCTGTAAGCCTTAAAGAGGTGTACGTGACATTTTGTACACATATGCCTTTTGGAAACTAGGTACCGCCTTGACTTGTTACGGCCGGAAAAGACAGAAATGTCCGGATGACATTCTAAGCCAAACACAACCTTATGGCCATCAGGATGCGCAGCGACATCTCACATCCTGATTTCCCCCGAAGGCATTACGTACCTGCTGATACAATCAGGTGGCGCGTAGGTAAGCATTTTTTCCAAGTGAGCTGTCAAAATAGGAGTGGCTGTGTTATCGTGCAGACAGCCACATCTCATAATATATTTTGTACTAGTCCTATCTGAACTTGAAGAATGGCAATATGCACATAGGGGAATATATATATGGACATCAGATCCAAAGTCAGCACGGATAGAGCCTCAGACAGGCGCCAGATGATACCTCTGAAGTTTTGCGGTCGAATTGCGGATTCAGTGGTACAGTAATATTTTCTTCAACCTCTCGAGACTCAGAGTCCCCGTCACGACATGGTGGACGACACTATGCTTACTGTGACGCGATAGTGGCGGAACTTCCCAGTGTTGAGATCTGCGGGCAAGTATTGCGGAAGGCTTGACTTCATGGACTGAAATCTGAAATAGTCTCCGGCTGAACGAAATCTTTCGCAATGCTCATACTAGCAAAGACGAAGAGCGAGGATCGGAAGTTATGCTTGTCTGATTGGTGCTTCCAGTCGTTTTGCTTGATTTACCCTCGACTGCATAATCGAGTCCCATCAACTCTGTTTGATTATTTCAGGGTTGCCCGATGGTCAATGCTATGATCATTCATGGCCAGCCCACGAAGAATATGATGCGAAGCTGTCAATTGGTTAACACAGGCCACCGAGTTGTACTACCTCTTGATCGTCATAGGCTATATTTCATTTAGGCGTGAGATGGATATGATTAGACTGCGATTCATTGATGCGATTGCTTTGCGACTTTTCAAACCTTGCATTTTAGACCTCTGGTAGCGTCATACTTACGCTTGTACGTCAAGAAAGACTTGACTTTCTTCTTTTGGAATCTCGCAACGACATCATCCACTATGAAGCATAATTGTCAACTAGGGTCTACTGGAGTGAGTGAAGTATAAATCGCTTGGTTCCAGAAGAGCATTTATCTCGACGTCGCTTCCAACACCGTCCTGGACTAAGATGATCTGGCGGTAAGTCACCTAGGGTCACCTTCTGGGCAGATTATTTCAAGAATGAAGCGCACTAGTCAAGTTATGAGTCCGGCTCCCCTTGCGCCAGAGGAAGCGACCGAGAGATGAGTCCTATTTTTGACTTATCTCACTTTTCGTACTTTTTTCTGCACGAAAGGAATAAATAGATGAGCTAACAGATAATTTGTGAGCGAGATATGTTGGATAAGTCGAGCATCATTTTTACCATGAGCCTTTCAAAGATCGCTTGGCGGCTCGGTCCCTCTGTTGCAGTTTCTGAGCCTTTTCTACTCGATCATTAGCGTCGCGCAATCCTCTCATCTTATGGCATGTACGCGATGACCTGTTGCGATGGCATATGCAGCAATATGGAGTGTAGAGTCTAGAGTCCTAGACCCACATCTGACAGTGACATCTTAGCGCCCGTTCCCTCAATCTATTCATCTCTCTGGATCTTCAGCACTCTTATTGGAAGTCTAGTTACCAGTATAGCATAAGCCTGCAAGACTTTTCGTCAGCTATGAGGCTAAGCCTGGAAAAGTGGTCAGTCTGAAGTCAACCTTAGCACGCATCCCCCACCGTGTCAAAAGAGCTGTCTGTTGCACAGTCGGAGAAAGCCACATTCTTACAGCGGCAGACAGCACAAGATATAACCTCTCCTTTCACTTAGCCCCTTCCTATCGTCCAACTTGCTTCGGCTGCATTTCACAACATTCTCCCCTACCCAATCAATCCACAGCCGGTAACATCTCTTGGTCATCCTGAGCCCGAGGCTTCTTCAGATTGTCATCATTGTCATAACAATTTTTCTTATTCTTGTTTCCTCATACCGGCAACTATCTCTCAACACTCGGTGCTCTATACATTCATTCACCTACATTCATTCATCGTCTCGCTTGCGTGCTTCACCTTCGTAGTTTTCTTGCTTTTCCTCTTTTACTGCGCGTCTGCTCTTCAATACCTTCCGGACGAACAGACTGTGCACCTGCTCAATTTGTGCGGAGATCATATCGCGTCATTGATTCTTCATAATCCGCGAAGCATTACTCGTGTCTTACGGAGGATATTTCCAAGAAAAAATAGCCATCATGATGTCGCCTACAAGTCTGGATCTCTATGATGGGACATCTGAAGTGAAACCCTCAATCTTCCATGGAGGATTTGCCAACAATATCCCGTGCCCCCCAGATGACTATTCTTTGTTGAGCCCTCCAGTGTTATCTGGCAAAGATCAGTTCTCGTGCTTTCAATTTGGTTTGTTCAAAAGATCACTGGTAATTTGTTGCAATCCCCAAAAAGCTGATTCGAGCTGACCAGAGTCCATGATCTTTTATGATGTTCCTCAGATTCGCATCACGATGCTGCTCTCTACGGTGCTGTCCAGGTCCCACTTTTCAAACGACCGTTTGATTCCTCACATCTTGGAGCTTCTACACGGCTGGATTTAGCTGAACAATTCCTTCCAAATGATCATGCTTGGCCTCAACACCCCTTGGATCCCCGAGAGCTAGTTTGTCGCTTGATTTCTTGTTTATTGTAACTCATTTTCTGTGCTGATTCAAAAAACATCATCTCCTCAGGTCGGTCATTCATTGGAAGCCCTATATGAGACACACTGGCTTGAACATGACCGTAGATCAGATACATCACCCCCATCTTCAGTCGGCTCCATATTTGAGATTCCCTCTTCTCCACCCATCAATATTGCAACGCCGGAAACCTTCCTCGAAGCCCCACAATATATAAGCAGTCCGATGGTTCTCGACGAATCTTCTCTTTCTTCCGCCTTTCCTTGCATGATCAATCAGCCCCCTCGCCAGATCTTACCGGGAGAGGAGTCCGTATGGGATCCGGAATATGGATGTCCTTCGCAACCGCATCAACCCTATCTGCCTTTGTCTTCTGGAGCCCCAGTTACACCATCTCTTCATTTCATCCCTGAAGCAATTGATTTCAATTATCTCCCATATGTCAGCCCTTCTGATTGCCCAACGACACTCGCATCCCCTTACTCAATACCTCGCAAAAATCTTGCCAAGCCACCACGGCCCAAAACGTCAGCTAGATCTCGAAAGCGCCCTCACTCTGATACAAATGCCCAAACCTCGCCATCACTCACCATCAATCCAAATACCCAAGGTTATCAACTTTTGGACTATCCCATCACCAAAAAACGAAAAATTCCTAAAGTCCGTCCAGCCAAATTTGTTTGCGATTTCATCCCCTCTGGTAAGAGCACCTCATGCGGGCAGAGCTTCGATCGAACTGAGCATCTGAAGCGGCATTTGGTTGCACATTATGGAGAAAAAAGATTTAGTTGTTCTATATGCGGACGAAAGTTTGGACGAAATGAGTGAGTTTCTCATCTTGCGGCACTATCAGTTTTTGGAGGTAGAAAGACCTGACATCTTTTTCAGCAATCTAAACCAGCACATAAAGACCCATGACAATTACAATGGACGTAACAGCAGGCTTCTGAGGGCTCGAATGCTTCAGGAACAGAGTCATCAAGCAGTTCAAGATGGAAGGCGAACAGTTACAATGTAAAGACACTCGGCCACAAGACGTTCTCATTCTCTTTTTTTCGCATCATGCAAAGGTCTATTTTTTTCCTGCTTGTCATCTTCTCTCCAATGAGAATGATCTTTCATATACTATTTTTGTACCTACAATATTACACTTACCTAATTTTATTGCCATAAAGTGCTCCCCAACATAAAATCTCGACTGGTGCGGTGCCCCGATGCCACACTACACTTGTTTTTCTATGTAACGGGTGCCCAAAGGAACAACGGCACCCGTGTAGTTCCATGAAAATATGTATGGGGATTATCTTGTTGACATGAGAAGACTTGAGAGCTCGCAGAGCTCGTGGGTTCACCAGCTCTGAATTCAGTGAGTTGATAGACTACTTATCACATTTGCAGAGACCTTTTTTCTCCGCAAATTCTGGGCGATGAATCCCGACCCTGATACTCAGCCTGTTCACTCGCGATGACTCCGGCGGGGCCGGGTATCTGATAAATAATGCGACTCCCTTTCATCCCACAGCAACCGAAGCAGGGGCCAGATAGGGTCAGATGCTTCGGAAAAGTTGGATTGGAGATCTTCCAATTGTGTTGAAGCCTGTTTTTTGCTCGGTTTATCTGGGATCAGTTACACTCAAATTGACTCCATAATCTTCAAGACTCATCCTAAATTCCCCATGGCCAGGCCATTGATTGGTGTGTTTGGTGAGGAAGATTGGGACATCCCTCCAATACAAATCTTGAGTACATTTCTCTTCCTCAATCAATTTTCCTTGACAAAAAGATCATCTCATCCTTGAAAAGTACTGATTTGTTAGTGCTAGGTGGACTCTACATGTCTTATGATCTCTGTCTGCAGGATGTATCTCACAAATTCACTGCCAACATAGATGCCTCGGGTTGCGGAATCCGAGGCATCATCGGAGGTAAATCCTTGGACAGACCTTGTCCAAGGTTTTTGTCCAAGGTAATCTTCTGCACTGAGAATTGCCTTGGATCAAAACCTTGCACAGCCTCTGTCCAAGGTTTGAAATCCAATTAATACCTTGGATTGAAATATCTGAGGTGAATATGTTGGTGGTGATGGTATGCAGCCATTTTCATTGACGGGATTACAGAAGAGACCTGGTTGTCATGCAACAAACAAGATTTCCTAAAGACTGGCCAAACATTCACTTGTTTTAAATTTGGATTGAAATTGACCCCATAGTGCAGTATCAAGCTACACAGATGGGTAACTTGACAAAACAAAAGCTGATTCCTCCAAAATGCACCTGACTTGCAATGACTATGCTTATACTATTACCAGGAGCAGCATTTGAGGACCATTGCAGATTATTGAATTGAGATGCAAATTTCCCTGTGTCCTTGTGGCAGTTGCCCAACAACGAGCGCACACGGGCTGCCTTTGAGGCAGAAAGGCAACCCGTGTGCGCTCATTGAGGAGCAAACACCACACGGACATGGTGTTTGTTACAGGGGGCCACAGTCTCAGGGTATATCTGCATCTGTGTCATGGAATGCAACAGGCTGGGAGGAGTGCATTGCAAAACAGCCGCAGTGCAGTACATTTGTGCCAGCTCAAATGGAATCAATTTTGTCTTGTACAAATATATTTCTTATCATGGCTTTTGTATACAGATGCTTCCTCACTTGGTTCTCTTATGTAATGGGGTACACTCAATCAACTGAGAAAAACATCCTGCAGGAAAAGCCCATCATGCTCCATTTTGCACTGCTCTTGTGCCCAGATTTTTTTGGCAGTAAATTTGAATTCTGGGCCTGGACTTTTGCCCAGAAAATCAAAATTTACTGCCAAAGTATTCCTGTTTAAAAGTTATTTATCAATAATTTCCAAATTTCAATCTTTGTTTTTGTTTTTCGGCTTTTAAAATGAAAGAATAAAGTTGAAAATGATGAATAATTATTGGTTGTACTTTCATGTGTGTTTCAGTTTAAAATCAATAATGGTCCTAGAATATCAAAAGATCTCCTGTTTGAATCACCAGTGGTTTAATTTTTTTTTGATTTTTTTGATTAATCTGATAAACCGCTCACCACATTGCCAATCAATCAGGCAGTTGTTCAACCTTTGGAAAATTCATCCAATAATTCACAACATTCATCAGGAAATTGAGTAGCTATTGTGCAAGCAGAAGTTGTGTCAACTACTCCCCTGGATTCTCCAGAGAATCAATTGGTTGTGGTACACTTGTCTGCTACACCTATGCAAATTGAGGCTGTACTGGAGATTATTAATCTGCCCATTGCTCTCGAATATTCTTGGGATTGGCAACCTGCATCTTTTTGAACAACAAAGCCACAGGTGATGTACTGGTACAGTACCTTTGATACCCAGTACAGTATCTCTGCCTAGGTACTTGAAAAAAGGTGCTATATTATTGTACCTAATATTAGGTGCAATATCTTGTACAGTACCTATGGCTGAGGACCCTCTAAAATTTGGGCACAGTACAGTACCTACTGTTATAGGTACGGTACCCTCTGACCAGAGAAGCAATGAAATTTGTGAAGAATGAAAGGGTATATACCCACTCTGATGACTATTAAAAAGAGAGAGAAAAGATAAAGAGACAAGTGACATGAAGGAAAACAACCAAAGAAAACAACCAGTATGAAAAATAATGAAAAAGGGGTTGTCTTGGGCTAAAGCAAGGGAAATTGCCAAGGGGTGAGTCATTAGAGCTAGTGGTAGGTACTAGCAGGTACCGTACTGGGAATAGTACCTTTGAACTATTTGTGGCCAGGATGGGTCCCTAGTATCATAAATTTATTTAAAAAAATAGCTCTGAGTGGCCTCCAGACCGCACAAGGGCACTTGCTGACCACCTTGTGATAACAGAGAAAAAGATAAGGCCCCAGAGAAATGATCTCAATACTATTGTAAGTATCATACCCAGTTTTTAAAGCGCAAAAGATCACAAATGCATCAATTACTAGCAATACTGTTGTGATTATCAATACCAAAGAAGAATTATAGTCTTGATCACATATAAATGGATTTCTCCTTACTTGAAGGGGCAGATTCAAGTGACCTTGGTACAAATATAGTAATTTATTAATGATCAAAAACATTATAACAAAAGTATAAGATGAGGAAAAAAGGGGAAAAATCCCTTAAACCAGCCATACATAGTATATATCATCTTTCCAAACATTCAACAATGGTAAACAGCCTTCAAAAACCAATCAAAACTCAACATAATCCCTCAAAACCTCAAAACCCCTCTGATGTAATCCTGTGATGTAATTATTACTAATGTATGACATGATTGAAGCTGTGAAACTGATCAATTTATGTTTACAAATGATAAATAAATTGTCTTATGAAGAATAGGTTTTGGTGCATGGGTGTGATTTGGGCTAAACTCCCGACACGGGATCTTAGCTTGAATTGGGGCAAGAGCCCTAGTTGCAGTATGGAAATGAGGGATTATGTGAAATAGCTCAAGTACATATGCAGAGAGATAAAGCATCAATATGGTCTGTTATGGGGCGGCCTAACATAGATATACACAAGGGAGAGGCGGGATGACCAGAAAAATTTACAAAAGATCTAGGTAAAAAGAATAGAAGATTATGAGAATATTTCTGAGAGTTACTGTTGGGAATGTAGAAGATAAATTGTGATCAATTGATACAGAAAGTGGGAACTGGAGTTCGTGAACCACTACAATTGTAATTAAGGTCGGTGATGGTGAAGAGTATCCTCAAGGTAAAGAGGGAATCATCTGCTGGGATGTTGGAGAGCATAGCAGTGTGATCAATCATGACATGAATGCTTAAAAAGTTGCTTATTGGAGCTACATCACTATTTTTGCACACATGACCTATTCTTGTTTCTAGAAGCACACTCCTAGTCCCATGAATACAGGTGATTTTTTCCTAATACTCATAGCTGAAAACCATTTTTAGAATTACGGCTTTTTTGTAAAGTTGTCCAATTTTGGATTACTATATCTCATCTTGTAGATCTCGTGATACTGATCATCAATTAGTATAATATGAACTACCTGTTATGTGGGATGAAGAAGTTATTGAGCTGTAGAGATTGATAAAATAAGCTTTTTGTCATGTAAATGTTGCTACATGTGTGTATGTAAGCGCAAAAGTCAAAATTCACACCATTTTCTTTGATTCCTTATAAATTTTTCATAACACCTCTGTGAATATTGATTGAAAGCTTGTACATTATGGAATAAAACCTTGGCCATCACTTGAGCTCTCACTCATCTTGATCTGACAAGTTTTGACATATGTAATTAGCTGAAAACCTTCATTCTCAATGGTTCTTACAACTTTTCACCTCTTTTCACATCTTATATTGATCTCTTCTACATCATAAGATCATTGTGAATCAATAAACTCATAATATTAACTTGAAAACTCATTATAAAACTCTTGGAAAGCATCAAATCCCTCAATGACATCATTACATATGAATAAATCCTGTAGCACCCTTGTTTTGAATGATTTCACTCCTCCATTTTCCAACACTTTATACCTATACTTTCAACTTTTTCTTTCATTAATTTCATAACAGATTCCACTCTTTTGAATATAAACTACATGTTTTTCCTCATGAATACTGTAAATGGCTAAGAACTATTAAGGATAATGAACCTCTTACTAATCATCTCGTCATAGTTCATTATCTTATGCTGTCTTCGTATACTTTTCATTATATTGTGACATCATTTACTTTTGTTTCCTTCTCAATCTACTTATATGTATCTTGGGTATACGAGATTATGTTTCTATAAGAATGAATGATTCTTTCACCTATACGTGTTTTTCTTTCTCATTCATTCTTATTCTTATTTCTCGTACCTTTAGGTACTGTTGCTTTCTTTCAGTCACTTGTGTTCTTTTACTAAAAGAACATCTCGTGCCCTTCTCAAGGTTTGTGCTCTTATGTAGTAGTGGTTGTTAGAAAGCGTAATTCATTCTTATTCTTATTTCTCGTACCTTTAGGTACTGTTGCTTTCTTTCAGTCACTCGTGTTCTTTTACTAAAAGAACATCTCGTGCCCTTCTCAAGGTACTGTTGCTTTCTTTCAGTCACTTGTGTTTTTTTACTAAAAGAACATCTCGTGCCCTTCTCAAGCCCGTACTCTTATAGGTTATGAGCCCAGCGCCACTGTGAATCACTTCTCACTATCACTCTTATGAGTAACGACAAATCAGAAGATCTTCCAAGTACACCTGCTTCTCTTCTCGACTTCGAGACTCAACTAGAATCCGAGTCGAACAATCCTGGATCACCACATTCTTTGAGATCATCCACACCTACTGGTCTCAACTCTGATTCCACTTTTAATCCAAGAACACTTATTCCACTCAACAATCCGAGAACTCCCATCTCCATCGACAACATGGCCAACTTGTTTGCTGAAAACTCCAACTCTAATGAATCTATTTCTAGTGTCCCAACCCTAACCGAAGACACTTTTTCCACTTGGCATCTAAAAGTCGAATCTTTCATCATCATGAAAAATCTAGATGGAATCATTGATGGAAGAGAAGCCGTTCCCTCTGATGCTGCACTTAAAGCTACTTACGATCTCAGATGCAAGTATTTAGTAGGATTTTTACGACTGAAACTTAGTGACAGAATTGCTGAATTATTGATCAACGACTCAAACAGAAGAAATCACATTGAGTTATGGAGAACCATCCTTGGTCATTTTGCCTCCACGAAAGCACGTAACCGTGGAAGAGTATTTTCTCAACTTTTCACCTTATCCTGCGACGGCTCTGATCTTCAAGGCTTCATGACTACCGTTAAGAAGGCTCTTAATGATCTCTCAGCTACCGGAGTCAAGACTGATGAAGAGATGATTTCTTATTTTATTCTTCACTTACTCCCCGATAACTTGTATAACTTGAAGACCATGATCACCCATGGAGCGGAATTAGTGGACCAAAAACTTACCGTAGACTCAGTCTTAAACAACATTCAACAGTATGTCAATGACAAGAAGGTGAATATCAACTCGAATTTGTCTTCCTCGTCAGCCTACTCTGCACGTCGTTCCTCGAACAACAACAATCGAACTCCAAACTATCCTGTCTGCACTAATGGAAGACACAATCCCGACACTGCCCACCCTTCTGATCGTTGCCATCAACTTCATCCTCACCTAAAGAACAAAGCTAAGAATCACTCTGCTTCCATGGCTTCTTCCGAGATAGTTCCCGAATCCTTCCCTGTTATAGTTCAAGGACCTCCTGCCATTACCTCTTTTTTGTTAGCTGCTGTTCAAAAGAAATGGGATAAGGTTCTTAATCTATTAGATAGTGGAGCATCTGTAACTATTTTTAGAGATCAATCTTCTTTTAAAACTTACTCTGAATGCTCGGAAAGCGTATTTCTTGCTGACGGCAACGCTATTCAAGCTGTTGGAAAAGGAACTGTCATTGTTCAAGGCCTCAATTCTGAACTCTCTTTCACGAATGCTCTACATATTCCTTCCTTGACTAGTAACTTAATTAGTTTATCTCAGCTTTTCTCTAAAGGCTTTGAACTCAACAACTCAGGACAAGATCGATTCGAAATCAAGAAATCTCAGCTAGTTGTCATGCAGGGAGCAATCTCCAACGGTATCTTCGTTCTTGACGTCACCAACGGCAAGTCTCTCGCTTTCTCAGTCACCAAGCCTATCTCTGCTGACGACTCTATCCTCTTACACAGGCGTTTAGGTCATCTAAATCATCAATACATGACTATGCTTCTCAACTCTTCCCTGTCTTCATTTTCTCCTTGTCAGACTTGTACTCTTAGTAAACATCATCGTCTTCCATTTTCCGGAAAAATTCCGCGTCCTAGTGCTCCTCTTGAAGTAATTCACAGTGACTTAAGTGGAAGAATTTCTCCTGAATCTATTGGTGGAGGTAGATACTATTTTAAACTCACTGATGGATTCACCAAATTCAAGCATGTATATATTTTGAAACACAAATCAGAAACTTTTTCCTTTTTCGTGCAATTTAAGAAGTTAGTTGAAAAACAACTTGGTCTACCTATCAAACGACTCGTTAACGATAATGGTGGCGAATAAATTACCTCTGAATTCACTAATTATTTGAAAAATGAAGGCATCATCTCTGATTTCTCTGCTCCGTACACTCCACAACAAAACTCTATATCTGAAAGAGGAAATCGTACTACCACGGAAAGAGCTAGATGCATGCTTCTTGATGCTAATCTGCCAAAGAGGTTTTGGGGTGAAGCCGTAACCACCGCGGTCTACCTTGAAAACCAATGTCCTGAAGCTAGTATTGGCTATAAAACACCCAACAAGCTATGGACTGGTAAAATCTCAACTGTAGATCATCTACGCGTCTTCGGATGTGCTGCTTATCCACTAATCCCCAAGCAGTTTTGAGGCAGCAAGTTCAGTCCGGTAGCCAAGAAGTGTCTCTTCTTAGGTTACCAAGAACGTCTTCACAATTATAGACTATGGGATTACGCGACAAAGAAAATCATCTACTCTCATGATGTCATTTTTAATGAATCAGATTTCGAGCATCCTTTCTGTACTTCTCATATAAAACCTGATCAAGAGAACTTTGAAGAAACCTACTTCCCCTCGGAACTTAATCCTGGCTCCACCATGAGCTCCTTGGAATCTACGTCTAATGAGAACCCCTCATCGTCTCCTATTGCTATCACTTCATCTTCTGACACATCTACTTCGAACCAAGGCCTAATGCCTCCCGACGACATCCCTATGCATGGACTGACTCCTCCCGATAGCTCAACTTCAGCTTCGACTGAAGAAGATGCACCAGTCACCAGTCCAGGAAGTGTTATCGCGCATGATGATACTCAACCTAACGAAGTCAAACATCCTGATATTCTGACTCCTAACAATGTAAGATCTACAGATTCTTCCAACGACACTTCTTCACTTCCTGCTGTCCCAGATCCTTCCGCCAGATGGTACTATGCTCCGAACTCTCAACCCGCCCCTATGGACATTTCTTCTGATATTAATCCCAATAATATCTTAAGCACTCGTCGCCGCCATGCTCATTTAGCAAAAGCTAACCCACCAAAAACTCCTAAAACTTTCAAACAGGCTATGAAAGGTCCTTTGGCAGATGAATGGACTGCGGCGATGAAAGTCGAGCTCGACAACATGGAACGGCGTGGCGTATGGACAGTCTGCGAGCTTCCTGAAGGCTGTAAAGCTGTAGGAACTGTCTGGGTTTATAAAACCAAGACCAGTGTTGAAGGAGATTTCCTGAAATACAAAGCCCGTTTATGTGCACAGGGATTCTCTCAAGTTGCCAACGTCGATTATCACGAAACCTATGCACCCACCGGATGTAAGGCTGCTTTTCGTATTCTCCTTGCAGTAGCAAGTGTTAACGACTTTGATGTACACGGCATGGACGCCGTAGCTGCGTTCCTTAATGGGATTCCTAGCGAAGTGATTTACCTTCTAATTCCGGAGGGTCTCCACATCGATGGAAGAACGGCTCGTACGGTTCTTAAGCTCAACAGAGCTCTGTACGGTCTTAAACAGTCTCCAAGGTGCTGGTACAAACAATTAACTGCCTTCTTCATTTCTATCAACTTTCGCGCATCTAAGGCCGATTCTTGCCTTTTCATCAGCAACGACAAATCCCACCCTTGTTACGTAGCCGTTCATGTCGATGACATGTTGATCACCGGTAGCAAGGAGGCCATTAGCTCTTTCAAAGCATCCATCTCCAACAAATTTGAGATGGAGGATTTGGGTGAGGCGACCTCAATCCTTGGTATGAAAATTGTACGCAATCGTAATCTAAAAAGCATCTCTTTGTCTCAAGAACATTACGTCGAAACGCTTCTCGCTTTCTACGGAATGTCCGAATGTTCTTCGGTATCTACACCAATGGTACCAAACACCTGTCTTTTGGCTGCCACGGCCGAATCGATTGCTGCTTTTAAAGCGACCGGTCTTAACTATTGACAAGCCATTGGATCGGTGAACTACCTCGCTCAATGTTGTCGACCAGACCTGGCATTCACGTGCTCTCAGCTTTCTCAACACTTGGAGAATCCGGGTATGGAGCATTGGGCAGCTTTCCATCGGTTGTTACGTTATCTCCAAGGAACCTCGAAATTCAGCATCAACTATGGCTCAACTTCGCCTGTTCAAGGTTCATACGCCCACTCGAAGCCTGAAAACTTCGCCGACGCCGACTGGGCAGGATGTATTGACACTCGTCGATCAACTACCGGGTACTTATTTATGCTTTTTGGAGGACCTATCAGTTGGAAATCTAAGAAACAACCTGTTGTATCCCTTTCTACCACAGAAGCGGAGTACAAAGCGGTAGTGGAAGCGGGACAGGAGCTAATTTGGCTCCAAACAATCTTCAACGACCTACGAATTGTCACAGACAAAACGATTCCTCTCTTCAATGACAATCAAGGCTGTATCTCACTAGCCAGCAATCCAATCTTTCGCGCACGAACCAAACATGTTGAGATTCAATATCATTGGATTTGTGAAAAGTTAGAAGATGGCACTTTTTCGCTCACTTATAAGCCAACTGGTGAAATGAGTGCTGACTGTTTTACTAAATCTTTATCTCGAATTCTTCACAACAGATGTTGTGTATACATGGGTATCTCTACTACTTCTTTACAAATCTCGTAGATTTCGAAGCAGGGGGGGTATTAAGGATAATGAACCTCTTACTAATCATCTCGTCATAGTTCATTATCTTATGCTGTCTTTGTATACTTTTCATTATATTGTGACATCATTTCCTTTTGTTTCCTTCTCAATCTACTTATATGTATCTTGGGTATACGAGATTATGTTTCTATAAGAATGAATGATTCTTTCACCTATACGTGTTTTTCTTTCTCATTCATTCTTATTCTTATTTCTCGTACCTTTAGGTACTGTTGCTTTCTTTCAGTCACTCGTGTTCTTTTACTAAAAGAACATCTCGTGCCCTTCTCAAGGTTTGTGCTCTTATGTAGTAGTGGTTGTTAGAAAGCGTAATTCATTCTTATTCTTATTTCTCGTACCTTTAGGTACTGTTGCTTTCTTTCAGTCACTCGTGTTCTTTTACTAAAAGAACATCTCGTGCCCTTCTCAAGGTACTGTTGCTTTCTTTCAGTCACTCGTGTTCTTTTACTAAAAGAACATCTCGTGCCCTTCTCAAGGTACTGTTGCTTTCTTTCAGTCACTCGTGTTCTTTTACTAAAAGAACATCTCGTGCCCTTCTCAAGGTACTGTTGCTTTCTTTCAGTCACTCGTGTTTTTTTACTAAAAGAACATCTCGTGCCCTTCTCAAGCCCGTACTCTTATAAGAACACAGGTACCTATAACAATAGTGCAACATATTAGCACTTGAAGTTGGTACATGTATTGACATAAGGGAATGGGGTCAAAAATGGTGGACCGGGTATGTGATGCGCTTGGGCAAAACGTAACATCCATTCCTATCTGGCGGAGATAATTTCCATCTTGCATGCCAGAAAGGATGGGTGTTAAGAAGCAACAACCGTTCTGAGGAAATGTCTCTTATATTTCCCACCTTATCTTGCAGTGTCTGTTGATCCCACATTAGGATTTTTTCCTAGCTCATTCCCAATATCCTCACCTGTGTTTTCCTTATTTCATACCAGTCTGAATTGTTTTTGAATACAAGTAGTTTGTGTTATGCATTAATTTTTGTTACCCCCCACCCACCCAACTACTCTATACAGTTGTCTTCAGTCTTCAAAATCATCCTTGTCAAAGTCCTCCTATCCTCTCAAGAAAAACCACTTTAAGATTGGGTTGGCATCATGTTTAAATAGTTCCACACGCACTGAACTCATATTGTTGTTTTCCACTTTTAGGTGTGTCAGGTTCTTTGAACCAGTTTTTCTCTTTATGTCTCTTTACGCGTCTCTGTTTCTCTCATGCACGCTAATAAGACACTTTGCCTTTGGGGCAGTCAAGCGTAAACCAAGCTTCTGATCAGCCCAGAAGCTCAGACCCATTTTCCTTCTCCAATAGCAAGGTATGCAGACCTTATGCTAACTTAACAGTAATGGAGGAAAAGATAAAGTGGGAAATCAATAGGTAAGTCAAAGGCTTATGATGGACAATTCAATGGAAGTTTATCTTTTCCAAAAGATGAGGTATTATATTACTGAAGCTAAATTATAACAATAGTGCAACATATTAGCACCCTTCTCCAATAGCAAGGTATACAGAACTCATGCTAACCTAAAGAAAGAAACAAGTTATAAGAAACAGAAATTCAGATAAAGATACAAAGATAGAATAGTAGGTGTATTATACCTAACGATCACAGAGGAACAGATAAAGTGAGAAATCAATAAGTAAGCTCAAAGGACAATTTAATGGAAGTTCTAACAGATACATTGACTAGTGTGAGTGATAATGTTCAATGGTGATTTTAAGTGAAAGACTTAATCTCTTTCCCAAAAAATGAGGAAAGAGAGAAAGAGACACCGCCAACATATTTACCTCGGATTGAAAAATCCGAGGTATTATCGGATTACCAACCTCCGACAGAAGCTGTCCGAGGTTTTGATCCGTGGCAATTCCCAGCGCAGAAGATTACCTCGGACAAAAAACTTGGACAGACCTTGTCCAAGGTTTTACCTCTGATGATGCCTCGGATTCCGCAACCCGAGGCATCTATGTTGGCAGTGAGAAGGGGGAACTTGATCACTGAGGTAAGTAAAGCAAAATCAGAGAAATTACATTGGGGAAGATCTACAATATTGCTAATGGGAAATTTCACAATGTCTTGAACTACTCTAAGAAAATGAAATAAACTGATCTAAACCCATAACACCATACACACCCCATACCAAAACTAACTGTCTTGATTGTCTTATTTCAAGAAAAACCATTCTTAATAATAATTCTCTCATTGATTCTTACTAATTTACTATTTTTATGATTTTTGACTTTTCTTACCTTCTAAATGTTCTTATCAAACTATGTAATGGATATCCGAATGAAATTATAACAATAGAAACAGTTATAAGCAACTTTAAGACCTCTGCTAACCATTCACACCACTAAGAAATATGACTTTGACTAAAAACACAATTTTAGCACAGAATTTTTAAACAAATTGATTACATAATAGATACTGATCACCACACCGGCACAGTGTGTCATAATTACTCCACCTTCTGAATTCAAGATCTTTCAAGAGTTGCATCAATTTCATCAGATCCCTGGCTTTCTATAAAAGTGATGAGAACTTTTTCCTCCGTTTGCTCCAAAGAATGCCTCCATTTCATTTATGGACAGTCAGAGTCTTTCAGTTTGGAATCCAAAATGATAAATCAAATAAGACTGTTCTTTAAACAAGTAAAAGGTCCTAGCACTTGAAAATCTTGAACAATCTTTATGGAGCTGTGTTGTTTGGGATACTTCGGAATCCCTGATAGGGGACTTGCCAAGTTTTGGAAGTTTCACATTTGGAATCGATGAACTCGAGTAATAAATTATGATTTAAATAAGGAAAAAATTGTGGGAAGTATTGACAAAGTAGACTAGGACTTTTGCATCAAGACATTTCCTGAGAGCAAGTTGACTCTTGAAATTCATGCAGGTTCCTGCCTTCTGATCTTCACACACTAGTTTTTAGTGAGGCTGTATATGCCAAGGAAAGTCTCCAGATATACAATATTTCAGCTTTGCATAGCCATCCTGGCATCATGCAAACCAAACTTCAAATCCACATATGTCATACTGATCTATCCAGTGTGAAGGTGTTGCATTATGAAATATTGGTACCAAAAAATGGGTACATATTGCTTATGTTTTCTGCATCGAACATACAGTTAAGCAGAAATCATCGATACTGACTGCGTACGAGCTTTGAGCGCCAAGCATGAAGTCCTGGGGAGCTAGTTTGACTATACCAAAAATTGGTGACGGTGTGAATTTCAGTCAGTCAAATTTATGCAAAATATCATGGACAGGAGGATCATGACTGGTTAAGGCAATGGAGATCGTCTTCCTGGTGAGAAAACTCGAAAACGGGACTTGAAAAACACAATGGATGCATATTTTTGAGAGCTGTGTTGGCCAGTGGGGGTGCGATACAGCACAGTCAGATAAATTTTGTCTCGCTGTGACGAGATTTTTTTGAAGCACTCAATTTTATCAGTTTAAATGAAGGTATAATTTGACAAATTAACTTCGTGATTTAGAAAAAAATTATGAGCAGATTAAATGTATGTAGTAGTGGGTACAAGTATTGATCTTTGGAAAATGTGCAGTTGAGAGGAGTGAATTGGTCAGGGACTAGTAGGCTGATACAAAGGAAAATAAGCAGCGGCTACGCAGAATTAGATTGTTTAGATAGTCTCAGTAGGATTATCCCGTTGAATGTTCTCGAGATTCTTCTCGTGGAGTCTCCGTGCTCTCAATAGCTTGCTGTTCCGCCCATTTGCATTCTCATGGGTTTTGATGTGCTGCTTCAGATTGCTAGAGGGAAAACCGTGATGCGTCAGAGTCGGCTGTACGATAAAATATGAGTGGAAAGGAAAGGTGGCGCTTACTCATTGCGACTAAAATTTCGACCGCAGAGGTTACAACTGAATGGCTTCTCCCCACTATGTGACAGTAAATGGCGTTTGAGATGTTCACCCCGATCAAAACCTTTTCCGCAAGGAGTCGTCTGCCCAGCTGGGATGAAATCACAATACAACTTTTCTCCGCGAGGTTTCGAGGGGGCATGATCCAGGTTAACAACATGATCGAGGAGCTGCGTGCGATCGTGAGGCATCATGATAGGAGAACCATCGGTGCTCGTGGTCGACGACGCCGAAGACGCGTGTCGGTTCGGATTGGAATAAGGGTGATGTCGCGATCTACTAGACGATTTGGACCGCAAAGGCTTGCCGAGAAGTCTACCGGGTTGAACGCAACGAGAAGTGAAGACCTCGGTGTGGCTGAAAGGGTTTTCAGACAGCTTGGGGGTATATCCAGCGCCTTGAGGAATCGGTTGCAGATGATGCGTAGTGGATCGGGAGGGAGGGAAATGAATTTCAGCCGTGGTAATTGGAGAGCCACGGCCAAGACCCCACAATGACGCGTCTTTGCTCCAGCTATGCTGAGATGGGTAGCTATCTAGGCATGATATAGGCGAAAAATCTGAAAGGTTTAAACGCGGGGTGGCATTGATCAAATTTGACATAGGCGCGATAGGAAACTTTCCCGCTGATCCGTCGTTGATAGGTATAGAGGCGGGAAACTCAAGCAGAGAACTGCTGGAGGAAGGCGGAGGCGAGGTGTCTGAGCTATAACTATAATCGGATAAGCATCGTGACCCGTATGACGCGTCAAGCGAATGATCAAGCTTGAGGAGGAAAGTTCGTTACGTTAGTCAGAATTGAGCAATGGGCACCGAGGCAAATGACAAACCAGCTCTGAGGTGTCTGGAAGCTCCTCGGACCAATGAGTCGTACAGGACAGATCGGCGAATTGAAGGCCGGGAGGGGGGGTCAGGGGTGACGAATCAAAGGCATGTTTGTAAAATGAACTATAAGGAAGTCCAGTGTGAGGGACGCCGTGCCGAAGTGCTGCGGAACAAAACGATCAGGTCAGCAAGGAGAACGGTCAATTGATTCAAAGAAATTCTGAAATTCTGAACGGATCCTTTGCACCTACCAAGTTCGAAGCCAGGGGATCTATTCCCTCCTTGAAACCCCGGCAAAGTCTGAAAATCATCCTGCAAGTTGAATGATGTACAAGCAAACAACGAAGAGTCATCGAGAAGGCTCGAGGTATCGTGAGTAAACCCATCATAAGGGGTTGAAGGACCATGATATGTCCCATCAAGTGTTACGGGCATCCTGGGTGACATTGGGATGGATGTTTGGTCAGGTGCATTTCTTGAGAAATCAAAGTTATGCATGCTGGACGAGGTAGTATTCCAGTATGGATGGCTACACAGCACTCTTCGTCCGGCAGGGTTCGGTATCACGATCGAAGTTTTTGGGTGAGGAGCAAAAGCAGGATTGAAAATCCAAAGAATCGATGGATATGGAGTAAGCAAGCGAAATGATGAACGAGTGTAGTTGCTTGACCGCGGTTGGATATGGAATAAATGTTTGAGACGGTGTAGAGAGAGATAACGAAGCAAAAGTTATTATTATTAGAGCGCTAGAAAACTTTTGATCACCACCAGCCCAACAATATACAACAGTGTGAGCCAATTACCGGCTGGTAAGGTCGGAATTGAAAAGATGATGAATGGGACTCGGAATTGGTATCCAATTCGTACCGCGAAAAGTGAATGGGTCCAGGCGAAGGGGCAGGGGAAGGAGAGTTTATATTTCTTCCTTCTGCCACTAGAAACATTGAGAACGGTACAATACTCGAGAGGTTGCTTCGAGCAAATGTGCACTAGTGGGGAGAGTTCCTTGTGTGCCATGCCCGACACGATGGAAGAAGCATGCGAAAGCCAACTTCAAGTTCCCTACTTTTTTTCAGCTCTTAGTCTGACGACTGATCGATTGAACTGCAGCATCGTCTAGTGAGTCAGTAGCATTCCAGCAAGATTGTTAAGCAAATCAAGGGAGATCCAGACATATGGATGAGTTAAACAGACCGGACGCTAAGGTGACACTGTCAGATATGGGTCTACACCTCCATATTGACGCGTACGTCAGCGTAAAGATCATTGCGTGCATGCCACAAAGTGATAGAACTGCGCGACGCTAAGGTTTAGGTAGAAAAGGCCTAGAAACACATCAAAGGGATCGAGTCGCCAAGCGATCTTTCAAGACTCATGGTCGGAATGATGTTCGACTTATTCAAGATATCTCGCTCACAAAGTCTCTGTTAGCTCAGCTTGTGATCCTGTAAGTGCAGAAAAAAGTATGAAAAATGAGATAAGTCAAAAATAGGACTCATCTCTCGGTCGCTTCCTCTGGCGCAAGGGGAGCCGGACTCATAACTTGACTAGTGCGCTTCATTCTCGAAGTAGCCCTCCCAGAAGGTGACCTGACCGCCAGATCATCCTAGTCGCAAACTGTGTCGGAAGCGACGTCGAGATAAATGCTGGCCTTCTGGGGCCAGGCGATTAATACTATCAGTCACTCGAGTAGGGCCTAGTTGACATAGATCCTTCATGTACGTTTAGTTTTGAGCACCTCATATTGTTAAATATGTGAAGGCTTGTGCTTCCATTTGTCGTTGAAGGTACGACGCTACCGTATGGCGATGATTTCATGGTCGGATACCACTCGCACCAAGCGTTGGCCGACATAGCTCAATCACGTCTATCTCGTGCTAAAAGACCTCTGGTTTGTGAAGGTAGCGAATAGAGGACTGGAAATATAATATTGAAATGATCTACATCAACGGTCTGGTCAATCGCCATGAGATGACTCTAAAGCAGTCAGTCTCGCTTCACGCGGTAAAACATGCCATGTTGGACCAAGTCTCAAGGAATTGAAGCATTGGTATGTAAGCCATGGATGCCGGCGTCCTGAGCCTGGAAGCCTTATCGTCCGTTCATACCTAACGTGCACCAAGGGTTCGGCAAAACAGAGTACAGTGCCGAGAAAACAACTTGAATTCCCATTCTGACCTGGATCCCGGTGACCCGCCTGGTAGTGTTTGCCGACGGGACGATGGGATGTTTTCCTGTCAGAGACAACGGACATTTCAATCTCCTGTAAAGCCTCCAGCAAAGCTTGCCTGCAGATTACAAAACTCAGAAGGCTCCGCCACTGTCACAAGATAGACGTGGCGTGAACATTGAGTCATTGGATAGAGCAGTCATGTTTATCACCACTCTATCTACAAAAAATCGGCTGCAGCGCGACAAAATGTCCATCTTGACTACCTACGAGACAGCCATCAAATGTTCTGTCGTTGGTGGGTTTTGATATCAGGTATAGGTCAAGCCGTGCACCGAAACCGAACATCCGTCGGATACCCGACGGAGTATCCGACGGTTCCGGATGTCGGATGAGGCCTTGGAGCTATCTGGTGGCCGGATCATCCGGCCGGTTCGGTTACCGAATGAGGGGCTCAATAAATGGGATATCCGGCGGATATTCAAATGATATTGCATATCATTGCAGTCTCAGCTGCCGCGTGTTCACATATATTTCTTTGACAAATATTGAATAAAAAAGATAAACAAGATAATAAAAAAATTAAAAAACTAGTCACTATCATCCTCAGCATCACGGCTAGGAAGTTTCAAAGGACCAAACACTCAATGCCAATCTTTCACACACAAAAGAGCCTCAACATGCAGGGACAAAAGACTAGTACGCTGAGGTCCCAAGATCCTTTTGGTCTTGTTAAAAATACCCTCCAAAGGACAGCTGGTCGCCGGAATTGCAAGGAAGGTCATCACCATTTTTGCCAATCGCATAGATATTGCCCTGTCTTTTCCAAAACTCTAGGACCTTAGTGTCACAGGATTCAAGTTTGTTGTTGAGATATTGAGTGATCTTGGAGCTGATTGAATGGTTGTGTGGAGCGTCTTGGGCACCAAAAATTGTGTCTTCAAAGTACTGGGAAGTTGACGTCACAGTGGTTGATTTTCTGGTGGTAGTTGGTGTGGGGTTTGGTACATCAACTTCATATTTCAAGGCCTCTTGTTCAAAGATGAACCTGATGTCCAAAGTAAAGAGGTCATACTCGGAAAAGATCATTGATTGTTCCTGTTGGTAAATGAGGTATGCTTCCTGATGAGTACAACTTTGAAGTAAGATGAGTATGAAGAAACTCACTTGAAAATAGTTCAACTTGAGGCGCGGATCCAGGATGGTAGCACAGACTGGTGCAGGTTTGGTGAGGGCTTTCTTGAAGTAGTCTTCAAGCTTGGTTATCATGTTTCTGGACGCAGGTATCAATTGATTATGATCATATCTTTGAGCTACCTAAATGCACATTAAGTCACATTAGCCAATTATGATGTGTATTCAAATATGTAAAATTCCATAATACTGACCGATTTTAGACCTTGTAAGACTACAACATACATCGGAACCACTTGATGCATGGTTGGTACTTTGACTTGCAAAGTATCTCAGTTCCTTTGCTGAGAGGTTCCAAGAAATCACACATTTGTTTGATGTAATCCCACTCAAGCCCTGAGAGCGCGTACTTTTTGTACTTGGTTTCCTTGCAGACGTCATTGCACACATCTTGTAGATGCAAGAGCCTTTGGAACATATGATACAAGGAGTTCCATCTGGTGGGAACATCAATAATAAGGCAAGTCGCAGTGTCACCCGGTTGTTGTTTCTGGGGTGGTTGAACATTGTTGACAGTAGGATCATCTAATAGATAGTCAAGAGCCTCAGTTTCGAAAGGATCCGGGGTATTGGTATCAGGGTTGGTTGGGGAAGCTGGAGGATTTCCAGATGTGGTTTCACATCTTGTAAGCTGAGGGTTATTTCTTGTAGACTGATTCTTCTTCTTTGTAGCAGCAATAGCACATCTGAGGTTGACAATATCAGTAAAATGCTGACCATGTTGAGGGCTGGACCGAGTACACGTAACAAGACCATGACATTGATTATAGATGGTCTTGAGGTTTACTTGAGTCACATCAGGTGGTTCAACAATGTTGTTAATATACATGGCACTTGATGAATCTTGCTCTTGCTCTTTGTCCCCATGAATAACTTCACCAAAAACCTTGAGTCCCTGTTTTGCAGCTAAGTTGATAACATGTGCTACACAGCCATGCACCTGTTTTTGATGATCAAAAGTGATACCATCCAAATTCGCAAGGACTCTACCTATAGCAGTGTT